ATTTACAGTGGGGAAAAAAAGTATTTAGTCAGCCACCAATTGTGCAAGTTCTCCCACTTAAAAAGATGAGAGAGGCCTGTAATTTTCATCATAGGTACACGTCAACTATGACAGACAAAATGAGAAAAAAAATCCAGAAAATCACATTGTAGGATTTTTAATGAATTTATTTGCAAATTATGGTGGAAAATAAGTATTTGGTCAATAACAAAAGTTTTTTAGTACTTTGTTATATACCCTTTGTTGGCAATGACACAGGTCAAACGTTTTCTGTAAGTCTTCACAAGGTTTTCACACACTGTTGCTGGTATTTTGGCCCATTCCTCCATGCAGATCTCCTCTAGAGCAGTGATGTTTTGGGGCTGTCACTGGGCAACACAGACTTTCAACTCCCTCCAAAGATTTTCTATGGTGTTGAGATCTGGAGACTGGCTAGGCCACTCCAGGACCTTGAAATGCTTCTTACGAAGCCACTCCTTTGTTGCCCGGGCGGTGTGTTTGGGATCATTGTCATGCTGAAAGACCCAGCCACGTTTCATCTTCAATGCCCTTGCTGATGGAAGGAGGTTTTCACTCAAATTCTCACGATACATGGCCCCATTCATTCTTTCCTTTACATGGATCAGTCGTCCTAGTCCCTTTGCAGAAAAACAGCCCCAAAGCATGATGTTTCCACCCCCATGCTTCACAGTAGGTATGGTGTTCTTTGGATGCAACTCAGCATTCTTTGTCCTCCAAACACGACGAGTTGAGTTTTTACCAAAAAGTTATATTTTGGTTTCATCTGACCATATGACATTCTCCCAATCCTCTTCTGGATCATCCAAATGCACTCTAGCAAACTTCAGACGGGCCTGGACATGTACTGGCTTAAGCAGGGGGACACGTCTGGCACTGCAGGATTTGAGTCCCTGGCGGCATAGTGTGTTACTGATGGTAGGCTTTGTTACTTTGGTCCCAGCTCTCTGCAGGTCATTCACTAGGTCCCCCCCGTGTGGTTCTGGGATTTTTGCTCACCGTTCTTGTGATCATTTTGACCCCACGGGGTGAGATCTTGCGTGGAGCCCCAGATCGAGGGAGATTATCAGTGGTCTTGTATGTCTTCCATTTCCTAATAATTGCTCCCACAGTTGATTTCTTCAAACCAAGCTGCTTACCTATTGCAGATTCAGTCTTCCCAGCCTGGTGCAGGTCTACAATTTTGTTTCTGGTGTCCTTTGACAGCTCTTTGGTCTTGGCCATAGTGGAGTTTGGAGTGTGACTGTTTGAGGTTGTGGACAGGTGTCTTTTATACTGATAACAAGTTAAAACAGGTGCCATTAATACAGGTAACGTGTGGAGGACAGAGGAGCCTCTTAAAGAAGAAGTTACAGGTCTGTGAGAGCCAGAAATCTTGCTTGTTTGTAGGTGACCAAATACTTATTTTCCACCATAATTTGCAAATAAATTCATTAAAAATTTTTTTTGCTCAATTTGTATGTCATAGTTGACGTGTACCTATGATGAAAATTACAGGCCTCTCTCATCTTTTTAAGTGGGAGAACTTGCGCAATTGGTGGCTGACTAAATACTTTTTTTCCCCACTGTAGATTAAATATGTATGCAAAGGTTGTGTGTGTGTGTGTGTGTGAGAGAGAGAGTGTGTCACTGTCAGGCAACATTGCCGCCATAGATGGATTATAATTATTACTCTCATCATTCTGAGGGACACTGTCAAGACACTGATTATAATCATGCAATATAATGGTGTCTCTTAGTGCCACTTAAGGGCCGGGTGCTGCTATATGAGCAACATGTCATCCTATTCATTCTCAAACAGCAGAGATTGGCAGAGATTGGCCTATCATACACACACACTGGGCTAGATGATGGACTAGCATGTTTCCTTTCCCCCAGCATCTGTTGTGAAGACCCTGTCTAATGGTTTGTGTTCCCGACAAGGCACCAAAGGAATGTCATTATGTGCTTCAGTTCCTTCACAGCTTACCGCTTACCTCTGTAGCTCAATTGGTAGAGCACGGCGCTTGTAACGCCAGGGTAGTGGGTTCGAACCCCGGGACCACCCATACGTAAAAATGTATGCACACATGACTGTAAGTCACTTTGGATAAAAGCGTCTGCTAAATGGCATATTATATTATTATAATTAAGGATTATTATTCATTATTCATACGCAGAAGGTCATACATATGTATGTCTTCATCCTTTTATCTATGTCTATCTGATCTGCCATCAACACAATTATGCTACAGCACATGGTGTTCAGAATGATTACAGTAATAACACAATATGAATTTTACATGAAGAATTTGATGGGACATCACTCCAACGTTCCGTAGTGTATAACTGACCTAGTCATAATTCAGTTCTACTTTGATAAATCGTGTTATAACAGCACAGTTGTGTGCATGATTCCACCGTGTTCCAACAGCCGAGGGCTACGCTCAGTTTAATGACGGACGGACGGAGGAAGAGAAAAGAGATGGAGGGAGAGAGTGGTAGAGATGGAGGGAGGGAGAGAAAGAGATGGAGGGAGAGAGTGGTAGAGATGGAGGGGGAGAGAGAGAGAGAGAGAGAGACAGCTTTCTCTCTCCCTCTGTCTCTCGCTCTTGCTCTCTGTCTCTCTCTCTCTGTTTCTCTCTCTTTTGCTCTTGCTCTCTCTCGCTGTCTCTCTCTCTCTCTCTCTCTCTCTGTCAGTCTGTCTGTCTCTCTCTCTCTCTCTCTCTCTCTCTATCTCTCTTCGTCTCTCTCTGCATCTCTCTCTCTTCTCTCTGCGATCTCTCTGCCTCTCTCTCTCTCTCTATCTCTCTCTCTCTCTCTCTCTCTCTCTCTCTCTGTGTCTCCCTCCCTCCCACCTCACCTCCAGTTCCACTGGCATGGCATCACACGTCTCTTTGAGGTGCCGCTCAAAGTTCATTTGCATCATCACCCGTTCGTTGGCGGTGCCGCCCTGCCCGCCCGCCGCACAGGGTCGACTGCACTACCACTTTTTTTTGTGTTGCTAAAACGCTTCAGGCACCAATTATCATCCTCCCACTCAGTTGATGAGTCTACGTCCGCAATATCATATCACTTTTAGGCCCTATTAGTGGATCATAATGTTCCTGAATAATAACAGCCAAGGAGTTATGTTTAAATTAGTAACTCCATGATGGACCTGCAAATCTTCCTCCTCGTTATTATGTGTGTTAATTAGCCTGCTCATCATGCTAATCATGCTGTAGCCATTTTAATGATGTTTTTCACCCCTTGATCCACGTTCAATATTGATATTTATTAGCGAGGCATGCTATTAGCCATCGGCAGAGGGTTTATGTGTTTTCAGTGCAGGCTGTGTGGCAATGGGACTCTACCCTGTATCTGACCAGGTGCTCAGTGTGTGTGTGTGTGTGTGTGTGTGTGTGTGGTGTGTGTGTGTGTGGGTGACCTGTGGATCCATCTGGTCAGTGGGCCTGCTGTGTGTGTGCGGTAACACTCGGCCCACAGTCCACAATCATGTCTGCCAATCAATTCCTTCTCTTATTCTCTCCTCTCCTCTCCTCTCCTCTCCTCTCCCAATTTCCTCTCCTCTCCTCTCCCAATTTCTCTCCTTAACATTCCCAATGTGTCTCCTATCAGACTGTGTTCAGGGCTCCTGATTCCCTCCCTCCCTCCCTCCCTCCCTCCCTCCCTCCCTCCCTCCCTCCCTCCCTCCCTCCCTCCCTCTCTCTCTCGTTACAAAACGTTCAGATAGAAATGAATTGTCTAGAACAGATAGGATTCTGTGTCATGTAGAATTTATAATTATACCAGCTCAATTCGTTCTATTTCTACTGTCTCTGATTCATTTAGCTAACGTCACAGAACACAGCCAAGCCCATTGCCAGGATGAAAACGGCACTAGCCTCTTTTTCTCTTTCCTATATCTGAAAGATGGCATTTCCATTCTCCACTTTCTTTAATTGCATATGACGCTCTGACATTCTGCTTCTGATAATGTTTCATTTGGGCGTTGGAACACAGACAGTCCATGCTCATGACGCTTCTACGTTATTTGGTATTGGCGCTCAGAGCAGGGGCTTGTTCGTGCAGAGCAGATATGACCGTCTGTCATGCCATCGTGTCAGCTCTATTCATTCTATTTCTACCTGCGATGTTCAGAACATTTCACATCACTGAATACACCCCAGTCTGAAAATGGGTGATCACATTATGAACGTCACAATGATAACTCACCACAGTTTAATCTCTACACACACACGTGCGCACGCACACACACACGCACACACACAAAGTCTTGACACACACACACACACACACACACACCCCTTCACTCTGTGCTATGGGAGTCTTTGCCTGGCCCCACAAATTAAAGTGTCAGTGATCACTGATGTGGAGAGAAGCTTGTCATATTAGTTACATTGGATCCTGTTCTTCTGTAGTCTCACCCATAAGGCTTCAGCTCTGACATCACACTAACCAACATGGCTCCCCTGGGCAATAAATGCCAACATGCTGATTGGGAAATGTGTTTTGTTGATGACAATGGAAAATAAACGCCCTGTGTTTTTTGTGCCAGCTCGCTCACAGATAAGTTTGTTTGCCTTCCTTACACATTCTGAGGGACATGGGAGTAGCTTAGCATTTGGAAAACAAGTAACATTTAATTATGTGCTGGGTAAAGAATGAACAAACACATATTCAGTCTGTCTGTCAGTCAGTGCCTTGGGCTTTGTTTTGAATGAGACTGCTCTCTCTCTCTCTCTCTCTCTCTCTGTCTCTGTCTATCTCTCTCTCTCTCTCTCGCTCTCGCTCTCTCTCTCTCGTCATCTCTCTCTCTCTCTCTCTCTCTCTCCTCTCTCTCTCTCTCTCTCTCTCTCTCTCTCTCTCTCTCTCTCTCTCCTCTCTCTCTCTCTCTCTCTCTCTCGGCATGGTGAGTGGGCAAGAACCAACAGACCCCGCTGGCTTTTAACTTCGGCCATTTTAATTGGCTGTGAACTGATAGAGCTGTCTCCTGACAGGTGGCCTCGGCAGATGGCCTCATCCAATGGGCTGTGTCGCTACGGCGCCCGCATCGACTGCTGCTGGGGATGGACCCGGCGCTCCTGGGGTCACTGCCAACGTGAGTAGTGCCAACTCTACCGTGCCCGCTGCTGGGTTAGGGTTACCGGGGGCAACCAGGGTTACCGACAGGGGTTGCCATGGGTTACCAGGGTGTAGTTGCTGGGGTCTAACCACAATTGGGGTGTAGAAAGAGGATTAAACACCAGTGTAGAAGACATATAGTAACTAAGGGCTCTGGAACACACTCTCCCAACGAGTACACGGCACACACACTCGTTCATAGGCACATACGTGGACATACACACACAAAGTGTGAAAGCAGGACATTCTTTGGGGGAAATATTGATTCTTTCTGTACCGCGTTCTGGAAAACACACTGACATTTTCACTGCTGCTGTTGAGTTTTCTGTGTTGGGGGAAATATATTCTAGCCGAGAATAAGGCTCTAATGAGCAGATTCCCATTATAAGCCTGTAGCCATATAAACAGATAATTGTAAATGATTGCCGTGAATGTACAGTATATTTACTAAATGTCATTTATATGTAAATGCAGGTGTGTAGGGAATCAATTTGGTGACATTTTGAGTAAACCCAGTCATGGATTCAGAGGATGCCCCTACTGTAAATATATATTGTTTTACTAGAATGAGCCTACTTTAGCCTCAATATACCTCGTTTTACTAGAATTAACAGTGCTACAGTATTACATTATACCACCATCTGATATTATATTGACCCTTAATAAAATATCTAGCCCTATGGTCAAATATTGACTCTTATGGAAACAGAGAAGCATTGGCTGCTGCCATACTGTGTAATTATATCCTGCAGAGATGTGTGAATGATATTAATAGGGAGCGCTGAACGTGTCGAGCAGCCTGACAAATGGGAGATACACTGCATGGCTTGGTGCACACATGATGATACAGCTGTTGCTTCGGCTGCGGAAGTGTGATGGGTGACACAACGGGCTTACTTACGCACAACATGTAGAGAGTAGACTGAGAGAGAGAGACTGGGCTGCATGTTGGCTCCGCCTCTGTCAATCTACTAACCTAGAAGCCTTGGGGGTGGGGGGGTATAATGCTTCATGTCATAGTTATAATACTTCATATCACCTTCATAACCTTTCACCTCATGTATTTTGTTGAGCTGTTTTGTTTTTGTTGTTTTTTTGCTAATCACTTGTCATGACTCATGCTATAATCATGCTAGATTTGTTGGTGTTTGTTCATGTTGTATTTTTTTTAGACAAAAACTCAAATGGAACACTGCTGGTCCCTGTCCAAAGGTATTTACTTCACTTCAAGGTCTATTGTTTCCGTTTGGCACTGGGCCCTGTTATGGTAGCCTGGTCCCAGATCTGTTTGTGTTGTCCTACAATGACCAGAGAAGCTAGCAAGACAGTACATACTGACCTGGGACCAGGCTACTGTAATGGCGGCCCGCCTAGTGCCCTTTCCTTCTCCCCTAGGTGAGGGTGTTGAGCTCAGTAACCTTCACTTGGTTTAGGTTTGGCATCAGGCCCTCCTTTCAGACGCTCTGTTACAGCGGTCGACCTAGTGCCCTTTCCTTCTCCACTAGGTGAGCGTGTTAGTGTTGAGTTGAGTAACCTTAGTGCCTGTAGGTCCACTTATCGTGTCAGATGAACATTCTGCCTCAACGCCAGCTGACTCTCCTCTTTATCCCTCGCTCCTCATTTGAGGTGAAAAGAAAAACAGAATATGGTAATTGCATTCTCACATATACCCTAGCTTGAGAAAAACAAGTTATGGTAATGACATAGCTACTCAGACTGAGAGCCAGACCAAGACTGTGCTTGGAGGGACCTCAAGAGACGAGGCTCAAGACAAAGTAGCAGAATGGGAAGCATTTGCGGTTGCTATTATTTGCGACAGCCAAGGCCCCAACATGTCGCTAGGCTAGATAGCTAAGAGCTCTGCTGTCGTGTTGGCAGGAATCACTGTACTCAATAAGTGTTGCTTCCTGGTCATTTTGGGCTTGGCTCAGGTCCTCCCAGCTGTCCATGTTGGATCAAACAGGAAGAGGAAGTTAGCTCAGTTTCTAGAGTAGATAGAAAATGACATCATTGATCAGACAAAATATATTTTTTATTCTGTTTGGGTTTAGCGCCATCCTCTGCATTGATTGGAAATTAATTGACAGGTGAAAACAATATGGTGGAATCAAGCCAATCATAAGGCTGTCTTTCACCTGGTCAGTTATTTCAGATCAGTGCAATGAAGGAGAAGACAGGAGGCGAGGCGAGGAGTGGACAGAGTTACTAGACAATTGAGAAATAGACCAGATCTACAGTGACAAGGATTAGTGGAGTAAGCCTTGTTTAAGCTTGATGTTTGATTGACATGTTAAAGTCCTTTGGGTGAGTAGATACCTTTGACAGGACCTTGTTTCTGTTCATTAAACAGCAGTGTGTTATCTGGCGGTGTTCTCTAACACTGTTTCAAAATACCCATCAGGAGTCTCACACATTCCATGTCAAGTTCGATAAAACGTCGACTTCACCTCGGAGAGTTGTCCCCCATCTCGGCAAAAGCTACTTTTACCCACCACCTGTTTTTGAAGGAAACCATATCGTTTTCCGCCAGCCATCCGTCTCAGCCGTTGTGATAAATCAATGCCATAGGAGGAAAACCAGAGTGTTCGCTAACACCTTCAAATGCCCCCGACCAAGCGTACCACACGAGTCCAATCACTCGAGACCTCAATCAGAACTCCATCATGCCGCCACAGGGCTGATTTAAACTTCGAGAGACGGAGGGAGGCCAGTCGTCATGGATTACAGATTACACCACTGCAGTTTTGGGGCCGGCCCCGGAGATTAGATTGGCGGTGCTATTGGGTTCTGGCTGTCTCCAGCCCTGCAAGAGTTCAATGATCGGTCTGGGTGACTGCTCACAAAGAATGGAGAACTGGAATGGGTCTGCCCAGAATTTAAAACTCCCTGTCCCCAGAACTGAGAGAGAGAGAGGAGAGATGGGAGAGGGAGTGAGTGGAAAGAGTCAGAGAGAGAGAGAGTGAGAGAAAGGGAAAGAGAGAGTGGAGAGAAAGAAAGAGAGAGAAGAGAGAGAGAGAGAGAGAGAGAGAGGGACAGAGAGCGAGAACTGAGAGGGAGAGAGAGAAAGTGAGAGCAGACTTGGAGATTTATTATAGGCCAGCTCCATTGGCACTACACTGACATGTTATGTGATTGGGTGGTTTAAATCACAGGCGGCGTTACTTTACTTTAACCAAGTGCCACCATAAACAGAGATGCATTTACCTTGTTAAGCATCTGTAGTATATCTCCGATGATTGCATACACATCCGAATGTGCCTCAGGTTTAACTCACTGTCAGGATGAGAATAGATCACTGGCAAAGCTACAAATTTCTCTTAGCCCTCGCGTCCTAGTTGTTTAGTCATAACAAGCTCTCGGATTAGACTCAAATTATGACAAAGAGCTGCAATGATTCAAACCAACACTAGACAAATTACACAGACGGACTGTGATTTAAAAATCAAAGTCTCAATTGCATCCTATTCCATCTCTCTCTCTCTCTCTCTCTCTCTCTCTCTCTCTCTCTCTCTCTCTCTCTCTCTCTCGTTCTCTCTCTCTCTCGTTCTCTCTCTCTCTCTCTCTCTCGCTCTCTCGCTCTCTCGTTCTCCTTTCTCTCTCTCCGTCGAACTGGAAAGTCCCAAATTAACTCTCTTACTGCTTTGATCCCAGATTTCGGAAAGAAATCCAAGAGGATTCCGATCTTCAGTGCAGTTGTCCCCGAGACTGTTTAGTCGGTTTCCCTCTCGAAGTACAAAGTAGCTTAGATTAGGAGAGGACTTTTAATTGGTAATGGAAGCCAATGAGTAAGTGACAAAATGAGTAAGCTGATACAGTTTAACCGATACCCTGGCCGTGACCCTACACTCTGAGGGGGTCTCAGGGGGAGTTAGGATATGCAAAAAAACACTGATCCATTCAATAGAAACATAATCATGTAGTTTGATCTGTTAGTGATAATGAGGTAAAAGAGACAAGGAAGGGAAGGTCATAAAGAAATACATGGATTCTGAAAGGGAGAAATCAATAGATTGTGTTTCAATTCAAAGTAGACCGTCTGATCTTTGATAGGAAGGATCAAATACTTTGTCAAATATCAATCTGTTCATACCTAAGCACTTGTAGCAATTATTTGTCAGACACAGAAAAATATGCTGCGGCCTCCTTCTAAATGTGGTGACGGTGGTGGTATTTTTATCCATCAAAGGAATGGAGGAGGAAATTGAATTGAACCACAGAATCTGCTGCCTGTCAGTGTGTTAGAAGCGTGGAAAACACCTTAGCTTTCTTCTCTCGGCTTGTGATGTGAACGTTCCACAAATATGCAATTAGCCAGCATGATGCCATGCATAATCTCTGCGGACACGACGGCACTATTTGACCATAAATTGAACAAATTAAAGTATCTAAACTCCAATTTGTAAACATATTTCAAACATAGCTATTAGCTACTAGCAACATTGCGTGATGGGAAGCATTCCTTCTCTATGGAGCTCATCCTAACTTCCATTTAAGTTGAATTTTCACTTAGTTTCCCATTGACATCAACGCATTACTAGACTTAAGTGGAAGTTGGGATTCACCCCTGGGCTTACATTTAATGTGATTGATCTAAACTTAAATTTGGAAGTATATTCAAGATGTAGCTACTAGCTACATTGCATGTTGCGAAGGGGAAGTGACATCCGACGCCCATTCTCTGTGGTTGTAACCATGCAATGTGTGAGACTCCTAGGTGTTTGCTATGCTGTGTGCATCATTTCAGGAATGCTCTACTCGTTAAAAAGCGACCTGAGCTCGGCTCTCCGGCTCTCTCATGCCATCTTTCTTTTCTCTCATCCAACCAAAACAAAACGCCTGCTGGAATGTTCTTTTCTTTGTGTTTGCACATTTGTTTTGCAGCAGGTGTCTTCGCTCTAACCCACAGAGTAGTCGGGAGAATAAGGTGTCCGCCACAAGGTTAGCTGCTCCACATATTTCTTTAAAATAATTATTGGCAAGATGTGGTCCTGAAGGCAGTGAGGCAAAAACATCGTCTGAATCCTGACTTCACTGACTTATTAATAGTCACCTCCCCCCTTCTCCCCCATCCTCCCCCCTCCCTCATCCTCTTGGCAAAGACATATCTCCTCCCCTTCTGGCTTGAGAACTCTGTGAACATTTTGCACTCTCTGGTGCCGCAGCCACCATTTGGCGTTCACACCAGCAGCATGACTGAGATGTTTGCCGTTCACACCAGAAGCATGACTGAGATGTTTGGCGTTCACACCAGCAGCATGACTAAATGTTTAGTTATTCATTTCCTGTCAGTTTGATATCCTTATAGAAACTATATACAGCTGTCTAGTTAGTACATGAAAACTTCATCAACCAAGAGCCTATGTAAAGTAATTGTGGTTCAATGTAGATTACTTCCCAATCTTCAAAATGGTACGCCTACATCAGGGATTATATATTGTTAGGATTATTTATGTTTTTTTTGGGGGGGGGGGATTTACTGTTGCACGTTAAAATAGTAGAATTCACAAGGTGCAATTACAAAATGTGGGTGTGCATCAGCAGTTTTCCTCTTGTTGCGTCAGTCACTGACAGTCACTCAATTAGCCATGTCAGCTAAAGTATTTTAGATTGGTAAGTTAGTCTAGCGGCCAGCTATCTAAACTTAGTAATCATGGTCGAATTACCGGCCAGGGGGCCCCCATTGATTTTCTTATTCAGTCTCACTCAGATACTGTATCATATTAAAAATTGATGCAATTTCTCTCCACCCTGTGGCAAAATGTGTAGAATTACAGGAAATTAGCTGTAAAATAGCTAATTTTCCTCTCTGCCCCATGGCAAAATGTGTAGAATTGCACGAAATGAACTCTGCTGTCAAGATGGGGAATGCTAAAATGTTTTTCTAGCAATGTGGTGGGGGGGGCTACATGTACATTACCAGTCAAAAGTTTGGACACACCTACTCGTTCCAGGGTTTTTCTTTATTTTTACTATTTTCTACATTGTAGAATAATAGTGAATACATCAAAACTATGAAATAACACATATGGAATCATGTAGTAATCAAAAAAGTTTTAAACAAATCAAAATATATTTTATATTTTTGATTCTTCAAATAGCCACCCTTTGCCTTGATAACAGCTTTGCACACTCTTGGCATTCTCTCAACCAGCATCACCTGGAATGCTTTTCCAACAGTCTTGAAGGAGTTTCCACATATGCTGAGCACTTGTTGGCTGCTTTTCCTTCACTCTGTGGTCCAACTTATCCCAAACCATCTCAATTGGGTTGAGGTCGGGTGATTGTGGAGGCCAGGTCATCTGATGCAGCACTCCATCACTCTCCTTCTTGGTCAAATAGCCCTTACACAGCCTGGAGGTGTGTTGGGTCATAGTCCCACTAAGTCCAAACCAGATGGGATGGCGTATCGCTGCAGATTGATGTGGTAGCCATGCTGGTTAAGTGTGCCTTGAATTCTAAATAAATCACTGTCACCAGCAAAGCACCCCCACACCATCACACCTCCTCCTCCATGCTTAATGGTGGGAACCACACATGCGGAGATCATCCGTTCACCTACTCTACGTCTCACAAAGACACGGCAGTTAGAACCAACATTCTCAAATTTGGACTCATCAGACCAAAGGACAGATTTCCACCGGTCTAATGTCCATTGCTTGTGTTTCTTGGCCCAAGCAAGTCTCTTCTTATTATTGGTGTCCTTTAGCAGTGGTTTCTTTGCAGCAATTTGACCATGAAGGCCTGATTCAAACGTAGTCTCCTTTGAACAGTTGATGTTGAGATGTGTCTGTTTCTTGAACTCTGTGAAGCATTTATTTGGGCTGCAATTTCTGAGGCTGGTAACTCTAATGAACTTATCCTCTGCAGCAGAGCTAACTCTGGGTCTTCCTTTCCTGTGGCGGTCCTCATAAGAGCCAGTTTAATCATAGCACTTGATGGTTTTTGCGACTGCACTTGAAGAAACGTTCAAAGTTCTTGAAATGTTCCGTATTGACTGACCTTCATGTCTTAAAGTAATGATGGACTGTCGTTTCTCTTTGCTTATTTGAGCTGTTCTTGCCATAATATGGACTTGGTATTTTACCAAATAGGGCTATCTTCTGTATACCACCCCTACCTTGTCACAACACAACTGATTGGCTCAAACGTATTAAGAAGGAAAGAAATTCCACAAATTAACTTTTAACAAGGCACAACTGTTAATTGAAATGCATTCCAGGTGACTACCACATGAAGCTGGTTGAGAGAATGCCAAGAGTGTGCAAAGCTGTCATCAAGGCAAAGGGTGGCTACTTTGAAGAATCTCAAATATAAATATATTTTGATTCGTTTAACACTTTTTGGGTTACTACATGATTCCATATGTGTTATTTCATAGTTGTGTTGTCTTCACTATTATTCTACAATGTAGAAAATAGTAAAAATAAAGAAAAACCCTTGAATGAGTAGGTGTGTCCAAACTTTTGACTGGTACTGTATGTTGGTTTCTCTGTCATGGTCCGCCCAGGCCGCAGGCGTGGTCGAGGATAGCAGGGTTCGGTACACAAATCGGGTTCTCGGTAGGTCCAGGTCCAACAGCCAACAGGTTAATACATGATTCCATACTGTATTCAAGTGGGACAGTATAAAAATATCCAGCTTTTCTTCTACCCAAATACAACGATTTTGACAATATCATATACTGTATCTTAACATTTGAACTGTCTTTGCCAAACACTGTCAAGTTACAGTAGTTAGCGAAATTTAGCTGGGGCATACTTCCTCATTCCAATGAAGACCGCAAACATCTGATGAGACCCGCAGAGACCAAAAGTAGACCAACATCCTCAGCATAGACACCAGTAGATAGTAGTAGCGCTGACGGCATCCACGTATTCCTATGGAAAACTCCCAATGGCGCATGAAGCCGGAAGTATTTGAATTTGAAGCGTGCCATATTGCTGAAAGGGGTTGAATGGCACCAAGAAATCGCTAAGGATCATGGTGAAAGTGGCCGTAACTAGCAAAGGATCATGGTCGATGTAGTCGTTTTCATCCTGCCTGAGGGAGTCAACTCAACCGAGCGCGAGCCTCCTTGTAGCCTGCCGGCCCGTGATTGGTCTGTGTCAGCACCTGGTCTTGTGTGATGACAAATGTAGTAGTCAGAATGGATCACTATTTAATTAAATATCTTGATTTGTTCGACCGTCAGAATTGAACTTGATCATAATAAACTAATATTAGAGGCCAAAACATCCGTACATTTTTTGGCTTTCTAGGGCAGACCAGGGCTTTTGGCACCACTAGGTTGCTACGCAGTAGTTGACCAGCAGAGCTCGTGACTTCACGCTCCAGACCGGACACTGGGGTCCTGATTCTTAGATGGGCCCTAGGGATGGATGGCCAGAGGAATGCCTGACGCAAACTGGTGTGAAGGGGTGTCATCAGTAGGTATTCGGGGAACGAGAAGCGCGTTGAAATGGGCCATGTGTTGCTCCTCTACGGTTGCGGTGGCCATTTTTAGTTCCTCATGTCGTTTGATGTGGTCTAATGAACACAGGGTATTTCCCTGGGCCGCACCGCAGATTTAAAAATACCAACCTTTCTCTGAACCCAACAGCCTGGGATGGGTTACTTCTGAGCATGCTTGTCCTCATACCTCTGTGGAAAAATGTAAAATAAAACCCCTCACAGCTCGTGACAGTGACCGTGTCGGCTGTATTAATAAATGATTTCATCGACTTTAATCGGCCCTGAATCGCTGACCAGATAAGGACTTGTACTTGACCTAACAAATGTCCCACGGACTAAGTTTTACACGTTTCCCCGAGTCAGCTCCCCCCGCCAAATTAACTCAACCCCTTTTTTGTTTTTAATCAGCGGCGTAATCTAGCGGTTTCACAGCTCACCGGCATCCTCGCGTTAACACCCTACCTCATACTGTGTATCCCAGGTTTGGAAAGTGGGCTAACGCTGTCTTTTCTATTAGATTACACATTCTAATAAAGTAGAATGAGACTAGACGATGCTATCTCCTCCAGGTGAAGGATTCCCCACTAATGCTTGTGAATTCAATATGAACAATGTTCCAAGCCGAAATATGAACACTATCCCTCTATCAACTCCAATGCCCCATGCTCAAAGGTTTAACCGCCGCAATGATACGCTTCATATAGCTACCTAATTCGATTTCAATTGACATTTTGTGAATGGGCATTTTGTGTAACCTATATACAGATGTAGGATCTTAATTTGAGGCAGTTTGCTACAGCAGGAAAGTTATCCTTCAGCAACAGGAAATGTGAATTATTATGTGGATTATGATGAACATACATTTTTTGTAGGGGTTGATACATTTTCTATTAAGGAAAATCAAGTCTGAAATGTAAAAGGTGAAAACTGTCGATGTGCCCTTGAGCTAGGCCTAATTGCTCTTGTAAGTCGCTCTTGATAACACCGTCTGCTAAATGACTAACATGTAAATGTAGATGTAAAGTGGAAATTACTAACTTTAGAATACTTTTTAAACCTTGAATACACTACAAGTTTACATTTCCTGCTGTGCAGGGAAATTCTCAGCAAAAAAATAGTGATCAAATTAAGATCCTACATCTGTAGGGTGTACTTTCAGTGCCAAAATTAAACTCTTCATGCTTGCTTATATCTTTATAGTTAAGCAATGCTCATAGCCCTCTGTACAGTTCCATTGTCTATTGCCACTAAGCATCAGTCATGATATTGAGTCTCCATATCACTGTTTCCCACTGCACCTCTACATTGTACTTCACATACATTTTTTTTACTTTATTTAACCAGGTAGGCCAGTTGAGAACAAGTTCTCATTTACAACTGCGACCTGGCCAAGATAAAGCAAAGCAGTGTGATAAAAACAACAACAACACAGAGTTACATATGGAATAAACAAAACGTACAGTCAATAACACAATAGAAAATCTATATACAGTGTGTGCAAATGTAGTATGTTATGGAGGTAAGGTAATAAATAGGCCATAGTGCAAAATAATTACAATTTAGTATTAACACTGGAGTGATAGATGTGCAGAAGATGATGTGCAAATAGAAATACTGGGGTGCAAATGAGCAAAATAAATAACAATATGGGGATGAGGTAGTTGGGTGGGCTAATTACAGATGGGCTGTGTATAGGTGCAGTGATCGGTAAGGTGCTCTGACAACTGATGCTTAAAGTTAGTGAGGGAGATAAGAGTCTCCAGCTTCAGAGATTTTTGCAGTTTGTTCCAGTCATTGGCAGCAGAGAACTGGAAGGAATGGCGGCCAAAGGAGGTGTTGGCTTTGGGGATGACCAGTGAGATATACCTGCTGGAGCGCATACTACGGCTGGGTGTTGCTATGGTGACCAATGAGCTAAGATAAGGCGGGGATTTGCCTAGCAGTGATTTATAGATGACCTGTAGCCACATAATGACGGTATCAGGCGCACAACAAACTTGTGACAAGATAAGTGAGCTCACCCAGACGTGTCCAATCATGATGCGCACACGCACACTCACCCCGCCGCCCGCCACAAACACATATAACCTCCCACCCCCGTCTCCAACTCCCACCGTAGGAATAATTAACGAGCCTGATTGGTCCCTATTATGACAGACTTAATGAAGCTTTTAATGGAAATTAGTACCAGTTGGCTGAGGCCCCTGTATATCAGCCACAGTTAGTATGCTGCAGTGAACACAGTGAGCAGCACAGTTAGACAGAACAGAAAGCAGAGCAGGGCAAGCCACCAGCTCTGTTTCTGCATCCCAAATGGCACCCTATTCCCTATGTAGTGCACTACTTTGGAAGGGGGTACAATAGAGCTCTGGTTAAAAGTAGTGCATTATGTAGGGAATAGGGTGGCATTTGGAACGCAAGCCGTCTCCAACACCAGAACACACAGAGATACTGTAAAGCTTTACTATTCCCTCAAGTCTTAAAGCCTTCAGCTGCCCTAAACAACACTTCACACAATGGACAACCAGCAGCCAGAAAATATTCACTGTTTTATGTTGTTTCTACTGCCTGATACTGAACATAATGTTCAAGGCAAGCGTTTGCTTTTGTGTGCTTTAACGCCGTGCTAATAGTGAGGTATTAGGCTATTCGTATCGTTTAGCTGTGTTGGCCATTTTCCAAAATCAAGACTTCAGTGCTCTCACCAAGTTCAAGCTTATGGCTTGTACGGTTTGAAATGGATAAAAATCAACAAGGAAAAGGGTTTCTCCCTCCCAATGAGCCAGTGCTGTACAGTAATACCGTTTATAAGTTATATGAAAACATGGTTTCACATTAAAATGTTATCTCTGGACATTGTTGAACTACAATTCCCATCGCTCCTAATCCCAACAAGTATGACACACATTGTGCTTGCATTGTGCTACTTGGTAGATCAACAAATCAAATTAAATAAAATGTTATTTGTCACATGCGCTGAATACAACAGGTGTAGACCTTACAGTGAAATGCTTACTTACAAGCCCTTAACCAACAATGCATTTTTTTTAAGTAAGTAAGAAAATATTTGCTAAATTATTTGATAAAAAATCTAATAAACTTAAGTAGATCAACAGTAATACACACCAAGGAACTGAACAAGTCAGACAGGATTAAACGCTTTCTCATATCTGATCTGAGACCAGGGCCTGTATTCATAAAGTGTCTGAGATTGCTGATCTACGATCAGTTTTGCCTTTTAGATCATAATGAATAAGATTGCATAGACACGGGGCACCTGATCCTAGATCATCACTCCTACTCTGAGATGCTTTATGAAAACAGGCTCTGAGTGTGTGCCGGGAAATTGCTCTTCTCACTTGCCTCTTTCCTATCTATGGGAATCCTCCCCAAACAGCTCTGTGCCAGCACGGGTGTAAGCATGGAGACTGCGTCGGACCCAGCAAGTGCAAGTGTCACCCCGGCTTCACTGGGAAGACCTGCAATCAAGGTAAGACCAGTAACTGGGTTGACGTTGTGATCGTGACATTGTGACGCTTGACGACGTTGTGATTACACCCTACACTAAGATTGGATAGACCATTTGGTGTCTTCTGTGTGAAAATATACGGTACCTTTCATACTCCGAGAGAGAGAGAGAGAGAGAGGGAGAGCGCCATAGTGAGTTAGTGGTCGTTCTAATCTGAGCCAGCATGCCTTTACTCAGTGCTTCAAGGGCCCCTTCATCCACCTCCATCCAGACCTGCTGACATTAACATTTTCCAAAGGAAACTAATGGAAGTCAAACTTCAACCAGCCCTGAGCGATGGCATGGTAATCATTGTTTATTGTCTACAATGCACATATACATAGCAACAGGAACAGGCGTATTAATGTTGCCGTTTTATTCATTGATTCATAGCTGATGCAGGATGCAGGCTAGCTCTCTCCATAGTAGTTAGATTCTATAATCACACAGGGGAGGGTGGTAGAAAAAAGGCCTGAATCAGCACAAATGGTAATGCCTGCTGTGTGCCGGGACCACACACACACACACACACACACACACACACACACACACACACACACACACACACACACACACACACAGTGAGTGATGCCTGGAGTGCAACCTCCCTCTGCAGATAACATCTCAATTACTGTCCTGAGATAACTCAGAGAGCAGGCTGAAAATGCAGCGCAATGAGTAGCCTACTGAGAGTTACAATACAGTGAGAGAGTGTGCATGTGCCTCTGTCTGTCTCTGTCTCTGTCTGTGTGTGCCTTTGTGTGTTACTCGTGTGTGTGTGTGTGTGTGTGTGTGTGTGTGTGTGTGTGTGTGTGTGTGTGTGTGGGAAACAGAGATAAAGATCAAACTTGATTGAAAATATTGAATTGAATGACCCCCTCAGTCAGGGAGGGTTAGTTTCTGGTAAATCTGAGTGGCTTGAAACTACTTGTGGAATTCACGCCTTAAGACAGGAATAGGATAGCATGTAATTAAAAACAAGGAGAGAGAGAGAGAGGGGGGGGGTTGAAATCCTTTCTGGAATGTAGAAATGAGTCATTCTACATGTCTCAGGCTAAGGTGGCTCATGGCAGATTGGCTAGACGGCTAAACTTTGACGTAGTCGCTAGAAAAATAAGCAAGCATGGGTCATGCTCATTAGTAACTAAAAGGAAGATAACAGACTCAAACTGGGAGGGACTACTTAGACAGGTCCAAAAAAAATCGTTTTCCGCTGCAAAATGTTTTAAAACGTTTTCGTGCTCTAATGAACACCTCCCTGACTTCGTTACTTCGACGAGGATGGACGTTGCTCTTTTACCAATAATAATAATTAGACTTGTCTGACAAACTATCATTTAAATAATGTCAAATGCTTAAGTGTGCATGGAACTCATTTGGCAATTAAGTGCCTTAGACAAGCACTGACTGAAGAGCTCATTAAAGGGGCAATCTGGGGATTTTTTCAAGCGATCGATCATTTAGAGATAATGTATGTCTAATAGAGATAACCTTCAGGGGCATCATTCCAAGTTGGCTCACATCGTCGTAGAAACATAATTAATTATTCAAAACCTATAGATTGGATTTTTTTTCTCCATTCAAAGTAGTGATTTGCTTTTAACCGTTGATTTGCCATTCTAATGTCAGTCGTTGACACACTGTGAATATTAATTTTCCTTTTCGCCGATACTCGTTTGATCTATTTTATGTTTAATTCATGTTCGGTTAGACACCCACTTAGATGGTGACATGAACTGTAATGGTTTAAATAGTGATGTGGGGCTGTAAACACAGAAACATGTATACAAGCAGTAGCTACAAACACACACACACACAGTACAGTGCAGTGCGGTGCATGCTCGGGGCTAGGCATTCCTCTTCCGCAGTAACTGAGTGGTGAGAACAGATGAATGACCCTCAAGGCACTGTGATTAACAACAGTGTTAAAACACCACAACACAGTAGCAGCAACAAGCGGGACCATAGAGGTGATCGTTGAGGAGAATTCTCTCTCTCTCTTACTTTAAAGTCTCTGTCTAGAATCTAGCTTGGTTAGGAACATAACATTGTGTTGCTATTGTTCCCTGTACCACTGTAATGGCAAGACCAATGTCTACCCATGATCTATTAGTATTAGAGAGCAATTATTCCAGCAACTTAGTGTTATGATTAAAGTTATAAATTGTACATTGCTATTAATTCAGTGTCATGGAACAAACGTCCCCTGCAATAACACCAAATGTTAACAGCGTTTTGCTCTATCGCAATTAATGATCAAAATCACGTCCAGCTTGTTTTGAAATGTCAATGATTTTATTTTGAGGAACGCCGTGACTTTCTGTGTTAAAGGGGAAATCTGCAGTTCAAACTACAGAAGTATCAATCGCAGATTGCCCCTTTAACAGAATAACATCTTGTCATGGTGGGGCCATGGTGTCGGGGCCAGATGGGTACTGATGCTGTATCACACCAAATCAAACTCATTACCAAGATAATCCAGTTAGCACTGAGACGGTGTGCTAGACACACACTCCCCCTCGCTCCGTCACTCCCCGCAGATCAAAATCCCTTTAATAAGATTATTATTTTCTACGGGAGGTTTCAATTAACCCCTTGTCTCTTGCTGTTTAGATGCTATTAAAAGGTCCTGTGAGGGAGCGAGCGCCATGTAACAGTTTCAAACATCAAAAGAAATATATCTGTAATCGAGTTGACAAGCCTCTTTATACAATTATGCGACCTCCTCTCTCCATTTATTTCGCTCTCTGTCTCTCTCTTTCTCTCTACATTTCTCTCTTTATTTATTTCTCTCTTTTGCTTTATTTTCTCCCCCTCCCTCCCCATCTCACTACATCTCTCTCTCTCTCTCTCTCTCTCTCTCTCTCTCTCTCTCTCCTCTCTCTCTCTCTCTCTCTCTCTCTCTATCGCTCTCTCTCTCTCTCTCTCTCTCTCTCTATCGCTCTCTCATATACGTGTCAGCGAGCCAGCGGCGGTGGCATCTCTCCAAATATTATGCTTCACGTACCTCAAGTCGAGTACCGCTTGGCTTTCATGTCATCATAAGCGCTTTCTATTCTGAGAGCATTAGCTAATATAAGATTTGGAAGCAGCCTTGTACCTCTGGCACAAACATCTGTAGTTAGATGACGTTAAACACTCCTGTTTAAAATCAACAGCTAGCTGTCTGTCTGTCTGTCTGTCTGTCTGTCTGTCTGTCTGTCTGTCTGTCTGTCTGTCTGTCTGTCTGTCTGTCTATCTATCTCTCTGTGTCTGTCTGTCTGTCTGTTTCTCTCTCTGGCTGTCTGTTTAGTTGGGGAGATATTTTTAAAGTTGAAAGTCAAACACTTCAGCTGCCACAGGATTACAAAGGATACTTTACATGTCATCATATAATTAGCCTTGTGTCAACCAGGCCTTTGCATTGCTCAATTACCATGTAGCATGTAGTCTGTCCCATTTCTCCTCCACCCAAGGTCACCTAATGGTCAGTAGACAGAGAGACAGGCAGACAGGCAGGCAGGGAAGCAGAAAGACAGGCAAGTATCCAGGTAGGCAGAGAGACAGGCAGGCAGACAGACAGACAGACAAAGTCAGGAAGGAAGGAAGGAAGGAAGGAAGGAAGGAAGGAAGGAAGGAAGGAAGGAAGGAAGGAAGGAAGGAAGGAAGGAAGGAAGGAAGGAAGGAAGGAAGACAGACAGACAGACAAGAGGCCCTGGACTAGACCAAGTTGGCAAGGAAGTAGTTAGACCAGGTATTACTGGTCTAACTGGTTGGGTTAATCAAGCCAGTCACTACACTCTCAATAGCACACACATGCACACACACACTCAAATGCACACGCACACACGCACACACACACACACTTTGAACTCCAGATATACAGGCAGAGGGTATCAGAATCCAGACTGATTACTCTCTCTGACTCCGAGACGCTATTTCATGTCATCGCTGACACAAAGGAATGCTGAAGGGAGGAGAAGTCAGAAAAAGAAGGAGAAGAAGGAGAAACTGGCTCAATCTCTCTCTTTCATTCTCTTTTTTTGGTGTGATTCTAGTCTGCTCATGTCCAATTCCCACAAGTGTAATCCTCTTTGCTGCATAATGTCATTCTTGCTCTCCAGGAATGCAGTCGTGGTCAGAGGTGTACTAATCCCAGTGTGTGTGCGTGGGTGTTTTTCCCACCGGCGGCGAGATCTCACTCTCTCTCCTTGTGTGTTGTTTTGTCTCCCCCTCCCCTATTTAAGAAGAGGAACTGGACTATGTAACCCCCCTAACATGGGACAGTCACCCCCCTATCTTTCTTCCTGTGGACCACCAGCCTCCAGCGGGGCTGTTGATGGAGGGTGAGATAAACTGTGGAACGTGAGGTGGTGAAGGGTGCCCTCCGCTCCCCGCCACACCCGCCACCCACTTTATGCCCTCCGTATGCCCCACATGCATGGCTCAGTCCTCTATGGCTTGGGCCGAGGGAGAATGAATGTCCCCTCTCCCCTCTCTTTTCCTCCTCTCCTTCCCTACTTCTTCTAGGAGAGCCGATGCCAAAGCCTGGCCTGGCAGCAGGAATGACAGAGCGAACGCCAAGCATGCCATGATGCCAATATGCCTCGCCACACTCTGCCTCTTGGCACCTGAACCCCCTTTCTGTTCTGGACTCCTTTTGCAGCACCTCGGTTTCCTATCTTTATTTTCATCCCTATATCTCTCTCTCTGTCTCTGTCTCTCTCTCTGTCTCTGTCTCTGTCTCTGTCTCTGTCTCTGTCTCTGTCTCTGTCTCTGTCTCTGTCTCTGTCTCTGTCTCTCTCTCTCTCTCTGCTATTCCCAATTTCTTCCTTCATCGCTCTGCCTCTGTTGTTGTTTTTCTTCCTTCCCCACACACTCTTATTTCCCCTGAACTCTAGACAGCAAGTCATTGGAGGGGGTTCCATCACCGACATGGATTCTTATGGTTTCTCAGCCACCTTAGAACAATGGACCACTCTGCATGCTCTTGACCAGAGAGCCCCCTGGGTGATCTGTTAGCAAGTGATAGTGGCGTGTCAGAAACGCACTGCCGACACATACCTCGAAGCAGTCCACCCAATAAATAAGTTGGACTACTCTCTCCTTCTCCTCTCTCTCTTTCTTTGTCTCTAACACGTCTCTCTGTCTGTCTGTCTCTCTACCTCATCCTCTATTTCACTCTCTTCTCTCTCTCTCTTTTTCTCCCTCTCTCGATGCATCACTACAGTTCATTGCCAGTGGATAGTAATATCTCAGAGAAGGGTTTTACTCCACAGACACATAGAACAGACCCCCAACACCTTGTCAAGTGGTGGTTCTATCTCTCCTATCTGTAATCTCCTCCCTCATCTCGCTCTCTGTCTCCCGTTCCTTATCTCCTCCTGTCTCCCTCTATCTTGTTGATCTTCCAACAGGGAACAGACTCAGCCAGGCTGTATGTCATTTGGCTGCGCTAGTTGCTGCTCGGAGCTTGTGCTGTCTGAGAACGTGACCCATTCCACTCCCATCATTCTCTTCATTTACATTTTCAAGCTTTTTTTCAGTTGTCACTGCCTGGGCAAGCGAAATCCTGTCTCTCTCTCTCTCTCTCTCTCTCTCTCTCTCTCTCTCTTCTCTCTCTGTCTCTGTCTCTGTCTCTGTCTCTGTCTCTGTCTCTGTCTCTGTCTCTGTCTCTGTCTCTGTCTCTGTCTCTGTCTCTGTCTCTCTCTCTCTCTCTCTCTCTCTCTCTCTCTCTCTCTCTCTCTCTCTCTCTCTCTCTCTCTGTTTCTTGGCCTTTTACCCTTGTGTCTCTCCACAGCAGCTCTTATTAGTGATGAAGGTAGAGCTCCGGCAGACAAAGCAGGAGTGACAGTTGGAGAAATGGCTGGCAAATACCAGTTCCAGGGTTCTGAATGTGTGTGCGTGTGTGGTGTGTGATTACTGAACTGTCAGGGAGGGTACTGGCCAAATGAAAGGTGATAATAAAAAAACAGGGATGGTGACCAAAATAGCAGACAGAAGTCTGGGAGGAGTTGTCGTTAGTCGAGAGGCCATTTTGTCATGTTTGTGTGTTTGGCCATGTTGCTGAGCTAATGATAGTTAGCGGCAATCACTGTATGTCTGTAGTGACAGTGCTAACGATGCTAACAAGACTGAGTTGAAGTGTTGGAATTGTTCTTTGACCTTGAAACAAGTTTGAGTTACGTTCGGAAAGTTAACGATGAAAAGGATGAGGATTTTTATAACACATTTTAAGCAGCCAATATATCCACTGTCGTTATCTCCCGATGTAAACCTCAATTACATTGTTTCATATCACTCCATTCTATGTATGAATTCACTTTTTGACAATAAAGAACACTGACAGGTGCTAATGATTGCCTCTCCAAAGATACTCCACAAAGAGAGACAATGTCTTTCTTTTTCTAGTACAAATTACCAGGTAATTGCGCCTTGATTAGAAATCTCAGAGCTGAAATGGGCACTCCAGTTTCTCATTCTGTCGATGATTTCAAGTTCTATGTCTTGGTGGGAGTCGATATTTAATATGATGACTTTGTCGCCATCTCTTCTCGTTTAGTACTCAAGGGTATCAAGTGTAAAAGATATGTTGGATATAAAACTGTAACAGATTAATTTGCTTGTGGGTTAAAGTAATTATTCTGCATTTAGTAAAATAAAAACAACTTCTGAACATGTTTCATTTACTAAAATCTTAATGGTTTTATATAAACCACTGAAACCAATAGAGAAGCTTCTCTTAGAAACCAATAGAGAAGCTTCTCTTAGTTGTTTTATGTGAATTAGTGCTATTGGACCAATGGAAGTGAAAACTAGACTAATCATAGTATCTCATTTACTGTATTCTAGTAGGCCACAGTGTCCTATTCTAAACTGTCCACAACCCGTTCTGTCAGACTGTCAGTCAACCCTTAACATTTACTGCATTGGAAATTGACTTAAGCCCAATGGCACAGCGGAGGATTTAAACAGACCGTTTCTCCCCTCCACCAATCACGGCGCTGACATGACCTTAGCAGGCTAGCCAATTCACATTAATACAGTGGTATACGACCAAGGTACACTCCGCTCCTCCTCCCATTCATCTATTTAAATCTGTAGCATCTGTCCGATACAGACGGGCATGCCAGCGGCCAAAGCGCCCAAAGAATGCATTCCCATTCCGCGCATTGCCCCAGAGCTAAAGATGGCGCCACCCGTGGTTTTAGTCTGAAGTGGGCCAGGCCTAAAAACGACCAGCCACCATGTACAGTTGAGATGGAGATCTATTGTCATGGCGGGCCTCAATTAGACATGGAAGGGGGCATGACACAAGTAATTTTTCCAACAATTGTTTACAGACAGATTATTTCACTTATAATTCACTGTAATGTAAATGTATCACAATTCCAGTGGATCAGAAGTTTACATACACTAAGTTGACTGTGCCTTTAAACAGCTTGGAAAATTCCAGAAAATGATGTCATGGCTTTAGAAGCTTCTGATAGGCTAATTGACATCATTTGAGTCAATTGGAGGTGTACCTGTGGATGTATTTCAAGGCCTACCTTCAAACTCAGTGCCTCTTTGCTTGATATCATGGGAAAATCAAAAGAAATCAGCCAAGACCTCAGGAAAAAAAATGTGTAGACCTCCACAAGTCTGGTTCATCCTTGAGAGCAATTTCCAAACGCCTGAAGGTACCACGTTTATCTGTACAAACAATAGTATGCAAGTATAAACACCATGGCACCACGCAGCTATCATACTGCTCAGGAAGGAGATGCGTTCTGTCTCCTAGAGATGAACATACTTTGGTGCGAAAAGTGCAAATCAATCCCAGAACAACAGCAAAGGACCTTGTGAAGATGCTGGAGGAAACAGATACAAAAGTATCTATATCCACAGTAAAACGAGTGTTATATCGACAAAACCTGAAAGGCTGCTCAGCAAGGAAGAAGCCACTGCTCCAAAACTGCCATAAAAAAAGCCAGACTACGGTTTGCAACTGCACATTGGGACAAAGATTGTACTTGTTGGAGAAATGTCCTCTGGTCTGATGAAACAAAAATGGAACTGTTTGGCCATAATGACCATCTTTATGTTTGGAGGAAAAAGGGGGTAACTTGCAAGCCGAAGAACACCATCCCAACCGTGAAGCACGGGGGTGGCAGCATCATGCTGTGGGGGTGCTTTGCTGCAGGAGGGACTGGTGCACTTCACAAAATAGATGGCATCATGAGGAAGGAAAATTATGTGGATATATTGAAGCAACATCTCAAGACATCAGTCAGGAAGTTAAAGCTTGGTCGCAAATGGGTCTTCCAAATGGACAATGACCCCAAGCATACTTCCAAAGTTGTGGCAAAATGGCTTATGGACAACAAAGTCAAGGTATTGGAGTGGCCATCACAAAGCCCTGACTTCAATCCTATAGAAAATTTGTGGGCAGAACTGAAAAAGCATGTGCGAGCAAGGAGGCCAATAAATCTGACTCAGTTACACCAGCTCTGTCAGGAGGAATGGGCCAAAATTCACCCAACTTATTGTGGGAAGCTTGTGGAAGGCTACCCGAAACGTTTGACCCAAGTTAAACAATTTAAAGGCAATGCTACCAAATACTAATTGAGTGTATGTAAACTTCTGACCCACTGGGAATGTGATGAAAGAAATAAAAGCTGAAATAAATCATTCTCTCTACTATTATTCTGACATTTCACATTCTTAAAATAAAGTGGTGATCGTAACTGACCTAAGACAGGGAATTTTTACTAGGATTAAATGTCAGGAATTGTGAAAAACTGAGTTTAAATGTATTTGGCTAAGGCGTATGTAAACTTTCGACTTCAACTGTAGATGTTATTTTAATATTGTTGGGTAGGTGTGGGGGTGCGTGTGTGTGAGTGTGCGTGCATGCATGCGTGTATGTGTGTGTCACCCCCCCCCACACACACACACACTTAAAGGGATACTTCTGTGTTTTGGCAATGAGGCATTTTAGCTACTTCCCCAGAGTCAGATGAACTTGTGGATACCATTTTTATGTCTCTGTGTCCAGTATGAAGGAAGTTAGAGGTAGTTTCGCGAGCTCATGCTAACTAGCGTTAGCGCAATGACCGGAAGTCTCTGGGTATCTGCTAGCATGCTAGTAGTTCATCTGACTCTGGGGAAGTAGATAAAGGGCCTCATTGCCAAATCCCAAAGTATCCCTTTAAGCTCTCCTGGTGGTCCCTGTTCTCCCAAGGGACCCTACTTCCAAGCACACTTCAAAAGGAGTCCACTCCAGGTGAAGTGCGCTAACAAAAAAAGTAACCCCTTGAATTATAGCATTTTTCAACCGTGGACATCAGTGCTCGTACGGAACACTTACTCAACCTCACTGTTAGTGTCTGTGTGTTTCAGACCAATATAAAGATAATGACTTGAGTTTTTCTCAGCAGTATTTGACAGGTGTTGAGCCTTGGGTCTAACCTTAACAAGGGATAGTTTTCTAATAATATCTGTATAGACTGGTAGAGGGTGTGTGCTCCAGACATTTACAGTCACAAAAAGAAACACCCTGAAATCAGCAATGGAGTTGTCAAGGCGATACACAACAGTAATGTCACCATCGGAATGAAGTTTTAAAGGTTACGTACGAGGGAGGGATTTGTTTTTACCATTTGCAGCATGTAATAAAGCAGCTTGGTCGGTTGTAACAGCTGTTAACTGTGTCTTCCTGTGAAAAGAGGAGGAGAGGAGGAAGGTAGCGGCCGGGCTTGTCTGAACACGGAAACACTTCACTTCCTTTAGGCACTTACTCTCCACACCCCACCCCCTCCCATACACACACCACACAAATGGATGAGGCTGGGTTTGACCCAGATTGACCCTATGCCCTTTGATCCCTATCCTTCCTCTCGTCCCCACACCTACTCCTTCTGATAACGTTCTCATGGTCTTCCTCTCCGTCACCCAACCTTGAGAATACTCGTCCCCCACCGACCTTGATCTCCTCTCTTCTCCTTCTCTCCGTCCCCACCTACCTCCTTCTGATACCCTCTCTTCCTCCTTCCTCTCCGTCCCCACCACCTACTCCTTCTGATTCCTCTCCTTCGTCCTCCACTCCAGACCCTCACCCAGCTACAGTGTTGAAGCCCGGCCGTTGCAAAACAGGTCTCCGAAGCACCATACGGCTCATGCTATCAGTTGGCTACTCGCCTCAATGAGCTGACAGTTGCTGATGCTACGGGGACGTGTGGAAGTGAGTTGGATCTGTCATCTGTCTGGTCTGTGTGTAACGGTCATTGAGGATTGTGTGTCCTGATGCTTTTCTTTGAATCTGGTATGATTTTCTGTCGTCGTCTGTTGTCTTTCATTCTCTTAGTTCTGTCATGCCTGGTAGTTTCGGTTGCATTTAGTCTGAATGATATTCTGCTCTCGTGACTGTCTCTCTCTCTATCTCTCTCTCTCTCTCTCTATCTCCTTCTCTCTCTCTCTCTCTCTCTCTCTCTCTCGTTCTCTGTCTCTCGATTTCTTCTCCCTCTCTGTTCATATTTTCTCACTCTCTCTGTCTCTCTCACACTCTCTCTCGCTTTCTCTCCCTCATCTCAAATGTATTCACATGAACGGCTGCTCTTTAAAGCCATTAGAATACTGTGCTCTCTCTCCAGTTATGAAGTCCATTTTCACATCCACATGAAGACCTTTGACAACACTACAGTCTCTCCTGCTGTGATAAAATGTTTTGAAGAAAAAAAAGTCTAAATCCCCATTCTATCCACTCACCATTACATATACATTTGACATTTTAGTCATTTAGCAGACGCTCTTATCCAGAGCGACTTACAGTTAGTGAGTGCATACATTATTTTTATATTTTTCATACTGGCCCCCCGTGGGAATCGAACCCACAACCCTGGCGTTGCAAACGCCATGCTCTACCAACTGGGCTACAGTTGCTGCCGGCCATTCCCTCCCCTACCCTGGACGACGCTGGGCCAATTGGCCGCCACCCCATGTGTCTCCCGGTCGCGGCCGGCTACGACAGAGCCTGGATTCTAGTGGCACAGCTAGCACTGCGTTGCAGTGCCTTAGACCACTGCGCCACTCGGGAGGGCAGGCTCTGGGTAGCCAGTATGCATCCTAAATGACTATAGGCATTGGTCAAAAGTAATGCACTATATAGGGAATAGGGTACCGTGTGGGGCGCATTCCCAAGTCAAAGAGACTGGGATTACTTAAAATGAAAAATATATAGGAGAAGTGAACTTTAACCTTGCATGTAAAATGGGATTGTTATTGCTTAGCCCTGAAGGTATTCTGATTCATCTTCTAGAGGAAATAGTGTGTCTCTACTTGCCCCCCAGTAAGCTATTTTTATTTCTCCTTTCTTTTCACCTTTTGCAACCACACAATCTAATCCAGAACCTTATCAAAGTATGAATGTGCTCACTTGAGTGTTCCTTTGATGAAAGCAGTAATGATATCGCCCCCACTTGAATGTGGAGGCCCCCTCTTTGAGAGGGAAGGTAGTTTTGTTTTTCTGATTAGATTCTGGCAGCGCTCCCAAGGCCTCATTTGAATTATAAAAATTTAAAAAGGCTACCGTTGAGGCAGCGTTGAATACGCTGAGTGTACAAAACATTAAGAACACTCTCCTAATTGAGGTTTGCCCCCCCTCATGGACTCTGCAAGGTGTCGAAAGGATTCCCCAGGGATGCTGGCACATGTTGACTCTAATGCTTCCCACAGTTGTGTCAAGTTGGCTGAATGCCGTTTGGGTGGTGGACCATTCTTGAAAAAATAAAAAATAAAAAAATATGCCATTTAGCAGACGCTTTTATCCAAAGCGACTTACAGTCATGCGTGCATACATTTTTGTGTATGGGTGGTCCCGGGGATCGAACCCACTACCTTGGCGTTACAAGCGCCGTGCTCTACCAGCTGAGCTACAGAGGACCACAGGAATACACACAGGAAACTGTTGAGCGTGAAAAATCCTTCTTTAACCTTGTCTCCTCCCCTTCATCTACACTGATTGAGGTGGATTTAACAAGTGGCATCAATAAGGGATCATAGCTTTCACCTGGATTCACCTGGTCAGTCTATGTCATGGAAAGAGTAGGTGTTCATAATGTTTTGTACACTCAGTTGGGCAGTTACCAGCCTCATTCTTTCTCCCACAATCTATTCCAGAGTACCTGCTGCAGCAACAAACATAGCAACTTTCATTTCCTTTTTTGGAAATGGAGTGGAAGAGAAGTGGGGGTGGGGGGGGGGCTCCACACAAAGAAATGATTTCATGTTATTTTGGAGAGCAGCTTGAACTCCTGTAAGACCAATGAGAATGGAACTGCAGAGTGGTGTTTTCAGGACAAACAGGGGGGGGGGCGAGAGAAGAGAGGAGAGAGGGTGAGAGATGAGATGGAAGGGAGGGGTGAGGGAGGACGGGAGAGGAGAGGAGAGTGAAGGCAGGCTAAGGGGGGTCGAAAGATGAGGAGAGAGCAAGAAAGATAGGGAGGCCGACGGAGGGTGAGAAAGGGGTGAGAGATGAGAGGCGAGAGAGAAGACAGGGAGGCAGGGTAAGGGATAAGGGAGGGGGACAGATGAGCGGAGAGGGAGAGGTTGAAAGAGAGAGTAAGGGATAAAAGGGGAGGGTGGCAGGGTGAGGAAGAGGTGAGTGAAGGGTTAGGGGGCTTAGGCATCCGGCGAAAAGGACTCCGGGAGACAGGAATATAATAATGTGGGGTTATCTGTTAGCCTGTTGTGTGTTCCTCTGAACACGTCATCCTGGTTCATATTAGAACAGATGTACTCTAGTCCAGGTCAGCCCAGGTCACTAAGCCAGGACCCTGAGATACAGACTTACAATGTAGGATCTCTGTGTGTGGGTTTGTGGGTATTTTGTAAGTGCCAACATTCCAACTCTACCTAGGTTGTGATCCAGGGTGTATTGTTGTAATTAATCCTTGCTGTGTTTGTGCCTGCGTTTACGCACCCGTTTGTGTGTGTGTCCTTAATGTTTGTGTGTGTGTTTGTGTGTATGTGTGTGTTAACTATCTATAACCTGCTGCTGTAAACCCTCCAGATACCCGTACCTGTGGCATGGCCAACTGCCAGTACGGCTGTGAGGTGCTGAAGGGAGAGGTGCGCTGCCAGTGCCCGTCGCCAGGGCTTCAGCTGGCGCCGGATGGAAGAACCTGTGTGGGTATGTTCTGTTCTAGTGTTAAATATATCAGCACGCACGTAAGCGACACACACACAACAAGGTGTGTGAGCCTTATTCAATTATTCAATGTCAGAAGCGTTACATATTTTATTTTTTCAAAGTCTTGTCAGCCTTTGAATTTGCCGAAATTTGGTTGCCACAGAGCTCGATAAAATACCTTTGGCAGCAATGAAAACACGATATAGAAATATCAAATTAGACCCTGAACGGGGAAGACAGCAGCAGGGAGAAAAACCTACCTGATATTCTCAAACACTCTTCACTTTTTGCTTGTCCATTGGCATTCTGATAGTCCTTGACAACCTCAACGGTGATTCCCTCTCTCTCTCACGCTCTCTCTTTTTCTCTATCGCTCTCTCTTTCTCTCTTTCTGAGCTACTAATTACATTTTTACTACGTGGAGACTGCATAAGGGCCTTTCTTAATGAAGGTGACTGACTGAAGTTCACTGGGAGTAAAACGACCAGGGATCTCTCTCTCTCTCTCTTTTAAATGCCACCACTCAGATGAGTAAATCTCAGATGGACAAATTGAAGCAGTTCATCCGTGTCACATCTAAATGCAGGCTCTGTCGATTGGCTCAGCTTAAATACAAGCTCTGTCGATTGGCTCGGCTGAGCCTTCCGGCGATGCACACTAGTCACAGTTTGAGACTGAGGGGAGGCAGGGGGGGTGTGGCTTCAAAACAGAGGCACATCAATCATTGTTGTAGAAGGAGAGAGAGGTTCCTAGCCCACAGGTGTTACAACGACTCTGGAAATATTTGAGGAGACCCCTTGAACCCTTTTCGGAAAGAGGAGTTTTTTTTTATGGAAGAGGGTGTCTGCTTTAAATCAACACTAAGGTCAAGGGTCACCAGATAGAGTTGATAGCTGTTCCAGGGTAGGATGATTTGGATGAGTTATATGTCTGGTCCAGTCTACTAGTCGTGTTGTTCCTCTGGCAACTGAAGAAGCCTATGGCAAGCCCATGGCAAGCCCATGTCAAATCCCTCAGAAACTGCTAAATAAATCAGAAATGCAAAAATTTGACGTGGGCTAGGCCTATATTGACAAGCGATGGAGATTGAGAGGCGAGAAACATGTTGAGGACAATACGCTATGATTAATGAGTAATCCTGGGATTAATGAGTGCTAATTAATGATTAACTCCTGCGATTTTTGGATTGTTCCAGAAACTAGACAGCTTCATATTTCATTTTTCCTTCTCATAAAAATGGCCAATTAATCAAAGGGTTTGTCAGCAGAAAAAACAGCTATCCAGAACTGAATACAAGCCGATAAACACTAAATACGAAGTGATTGAATGAAACGGCACTGTTCTTTCTAGACGACCAGTTATTTTCATGGGTAGGTTTTCAGACAGAAAAGCAATGGTTGATTGGAAACCTTGTACACATTTTGGCCTATTGTAGGCTACTCTATAGTATGCATCCATCTTTCTCTTAGACTCTCCATAACACTGTATGTTTCAAGTTGGCGTAACTGTCAGAGTTGTTTCAATCATGCAACATTTTACAGCACATTAAATAAAATAGACTCACCAAAGCCAGTAGTCCTTTCAATGTATTCCTACCCATGTAGCTACAGAGGTGATTTGAGTCTACCCTGACAGAATAAGCTCTTAAAACCTTCACAACCTTGGTGTGTATTGTTCTGATCGTAGGATTTAATGCATAATCGGCTTTCGTTCGTGTTTGAATAAACCCAAAAGAGAGAAAAGTCCTGTGAAAGAGAGGAAGTGCTGTTCTTTTGAAAGATGCAGATTAAACTGTAGGCTATATTTATGGATTTATTCATTTAATACATACAATATGCGTTGATGTGTTGCTAGCCAACCTTACACATAGATAATTATATTTCCATTGATTTACATGGATATATATGGCTTTGGTATAGGTAAAACTATATGTATATTAATAATGAATTGAAACCCTGAAGAAGGTAGGCTAGCTGATTTAAACGTTGGTATTTATTACATGTATTGAATCAGAGCCATGATATTGTACAGCCCTCCCTTCTTAGTATTAATACCTCTCCTTCTAAGTATTAATAAATAATAAACTCTGAACTGTAGTTTAATCTGTAATGTTCTTACTTTCAGATGTGGACGAGTGTGCGACCGGCATGGCCATGTGTCCCCGGTTCCGTAAGTGCATCAACACCTTCGGGAGTTACATCTGCAAGTGTCACGAGGGCTTCGACCTGCAATACATCAACGGGAAGTACCAGTGCGTAGGTACGTAATGAGGTCATCCAAGCTTCCACACGCCTTACCTGGGGTTTAAGGGTCAAAAGGTCAACAGACAGGCTTGTTGAAATGTTGTGACCCATCACTGAGTCATCGCGTCTGGAGCGCAGGTGTTGTTTTTACATTAATTATTTTAAGAGAGAGATAAGAAGAAAGAGAGAGAGGGTGGGGGAGAGAGAGAGAGAGGGGGAGGGGAAAGAAAGAAAGAAAGAGCATTACCTTTCTTTCTTTCTTTCTTTCTTTCTTTCTTTCTTTCTTTCTTTCTTTCTTTCTTTCTTTCTTTCTTTCTTTCTTTCTTTCTTTCTTTCTTTCTTTCTTTCTTTCTTTCTTTCTTTCTTTCTTTCTCTTTCCCTCCCTCCCTCCCTCATACTCAGCTGTGTGGTTCTCCTGTCTTTCAGATGTGGATGAGTGCTCCTCAGGCCAAAACCACTGCAACAGTTTCGCCACCTGCTATAACACGCCTGGCTCCTACAAGTGCAAGTGCAAAGACGGCTACAGGGGGATGGGCCACGACTGCAAACGTAAGCTGGGCCACTGAATGGCCCCACGGCCCCTCTCTTTTTAAAGGGGACAGGGCCCCCCTTTTTTATTTTATTTGGTCGTGTTTTTTTGAAGGCTGGAGGGTTGAAGAGATTACGGGTAGGAAAAGTAGTCTGCAACTTAAGAGCAATGGGCTGAAATTCTTGTCTTTTGTAATGGCTGTCACTCATGAGTGAGATAACCCCCGCCCCTTACCGTCTGGTACGGTCTTAAAGAGCGTCGACTCCGTCTTGACGTCTGGCCATTGTGATCTTTAAAGACAAAAAAAAAAAAGGGTCAGTCAAACATCTCATTCTTTTACTTCTTCGTCTGGCTGGTGTCTCCTTCCACTAACTTGACAGACCACTCTGATGCCTGTCTCTTTTGTCTTTGTTGTCGCTGTTCACACAGCGGCTCAATGGCAAAAGAAAAGTAATCTATTATCATTATATCCCCAGTAGTTTAATCTTTTGACTGAACTGCTGTACGCCAGTCAGTGTCTGCATCCCAAATGGCACCCTATTCCCTATATAGTGCACTACTTTGGACCAGAACGCTTATATGCCCTGGTCAAAAGTAGTGCACTTTATAGGGAAAAGGGTGCCGTTTGGGATGCTGCCAGTGTAGCTAGCAGCACACAGAACCCTCCCTCCCGCCTAGAGCACTGGCAGAATCCCGACACTGGTATTTGAAACAATCTGTCGCCTTACCGTTCGGTGTGATACAGAAGTGGCTTGAGGGGGAGAGGGTTGATTTGCGATATCCTATTTGTGTGTCACATATCAAAGCCCCTCTGTAACCCGAGAAAGCGTGAGCCGAGACTCTCTTTGAGGACTCTCTTTGAGAAGCCCCACACCCCTACCCTCACCCCCCTTCAGTCCTCAATCATGAAGCCCTTTTTCCTCAAGTTGTCCCTAAATGCCTTTTCTACTCTGCCCTCCGACCTGTGGAATGTGAGGACGTACAATAGGAGATGGGTCTCGTGTCTCTCCTTTATGACACCAGAGGCTTTGTGGGTGATCCTAAGGCAGGGATTTTTATAGGTGTGGTTGGTATCACTCCACACAGGAATACCAGCTAGCTGTCTGGCTGGCTGGCTGTCTGGCTTTCTAGCTGTCTGTCTGGCTGTTTGGCTGTCTGTCTGGCTTTAGCTCAGGGCTGAGAACTCTTGACTAAAAGCAACAGAGAGAAGGGTTAATGTCTATTTGGAATAGAGGGAGCTGCTCTATCAGGGGATAAAGTGGAAATGAACGTTACAAAATGAAGACGGGTGATTTTACTGATGAGAGTGTAATGCGTCTTGATTATATGGGAATGATTTGGTTTCAAAGATAAGATCTTTAAAGTCCCTTAATGAGGGGAAGTATGCTTTATGGATACAGAGATAAAGCTGGTTGCTTGGTTACTCAGGTAAAGTCATTGCAGATGAAAGAGCTGGCCTTTCTTTCAAAGGGTCAGTTGGTCACTGTAGTCACCACCTCTTAATGTCTCATTAACACCGAAGCATTCAGGATGGTGTTCATTAAGCACCAAACAGAGAAAATAAATACACTGAAACAGGGAGGGACTATCTGGACACCTCCAATTAGAACCGCACATTTGTTTTCTGTTGCAAAACATTTTCAAATGTTTTTATGTTGCATTCCCTAATGAACACAACCCAGATTTCAGTTGTCAATCCATTTCCTGTCTTCTTTTTCCTTCCAGCCATTCCCAAGGTGGTCATCGATCCCCCCAGGTTCCCCCCGAACCACCACAACATTATCCCTGACTCAGACCGAAAGAGGACCACCACCACGATCCGACCGCCCATGACCGCCAAGAGAGTCACCCCCACCACCCCCAAAAGAACCACAACCACTCCCAAACCAACAACTACCACTACCACTACTACTAGAGCACCTACTACAGCCACACCACCACCACCACCCCCACCTCCTCCAAGAACGATGCCCCCCGCCCCTCGTAAGCCAGTGGTCCCCACGAGACGACCAATCATACCCACCAGGAGACCCCCTGTGGTCACCCGTAAGCCATACGTGCCCCCACGGCGTCCCCCCATCCCCTCTCCACCGCCCCCCACCCGCAGGACACCCCCTGTGGTGCCCACCCGCCGCCCGCCACCCCCAAAACAGCCCGAGCCGGTCACCCCAGTACACAACACCATCGAGAAGGAGGTCACCAAACAGAGAGGCGACGTCCACAGTAAGTCTGCTTTTTTGTTTTGCTTGAGATTTACATTGACTGTTATGCGTGTGTGTATAGCATCCATAAACTTCTGAATTTCCACCTCAGCTACTTTTCAGCAGATTTGATTGGGAGATTTGATAAAAAATATAAATATGTGGTCAAGTTATCTTGAAAAGATGCTTGACAAGTTTCTGCAAACCGGATGTGACCACATTTGCATATCCATATTTATTTCAGTCGCTTCGTAATATATCAGGCATGATTGTGAAATATGTCCATCCGACCATCCCCAATGACAGAACGAAAACACTTCACAGCAAATCAGTTGTGAAGCGGTCCAGAGAAAATGAAGTGTGTATTATTATTATCTTAACCCATTTTCAACAGAAACTGGAGAACATCTGAATGCCATTGAACTGAGGGGGTTTGTCAGTCTTTTGCCAAAGTATAGTCTACTATCTATCTAGGCCAGTACAGGGGTGGCAATAGAGGATAGAGAAACATTATTTTAACACAGTTAAAGGGGAATGGAAACACTTTAGGAAGTCAATCTAAATCCTAGTGTTTCCATTCCCCTTTAAGGGCTCACCATATGATAATACCGTTTGCAATGCAGTTATTGACAATAATTCACCTAGTTGTTATTGTACCAGACTTGACCTTACACAGTTAGCCTGCACTAGAACACACTAGCGTGGTACCAGATCTGTCTTGTCAACTCCAATGGTCAGTGTGACGTTATAAACAGATCTGCAATCAGGCTAATACTGGATTACAAAAATGTAAAAATCACAGTGCCCATTTGAACACTGTTGATTAAAAGTCATCGCCAAGGCCCTCTGACATCAATAGCCTGTGAGGATGAAAGGGTGGCGGTGCAGCAGTCATTGTGCATGCTGGGAGGTGAGATCGTGTTTCCCACCGACCTAGCCAGATGGCCTCACATAATTAGAAAATTAAAAAACTAGGAGGTAGATTGCATTCACATCAGTTTGCATTATTTGGAGGACGACATCAATTTATTCAGCAGAATAGCCTCGGAGAATGTCTTTGAAATGTGTTGTTTGAATAAGACGAGCGGGAGAGGAAAGGATGTTGCCCTGGCGATATCAATAGAATATTTTAATTGGATTGTGATTCAAGAGGACAAGAATGATCGTCAAAGCATAAGGAACTTGTCTGATTAAAGTGGTTCAGAACTCGGAGGCATCAGCTTGTTTGTACTGTATGATTTTGTTTACTTTTAGTAAAATAAATTAAATTACGTTTAAAAAAAATTGTAAAGTAAAAGTTAACTTTTAGTACTTTTAGCTCGGAATTGGGAATCTGCAGATTGCCCTGTAATTGTCTTGTTGCGAGCGCTAACCACTTTCTTGGCCCTGTTCGAATCATTTTGAAGATGCATCCTCCCTTCCATTCCTTCCTTGAAGTGATCACAGCAAAGAAGTACCCCAGGAAAACTCTGTCTTCTTACCCACACAAACATTTCAGAAATGTGTCACCATCGGCTGATCATATTCCTCTTTAAAGGGATAGTTTTCCAGGTTTTTTTCCCCAATCTTAATTGTTTTATTACCTCAAGAGTGTAAACACAGATATTCTGGAGTGCTATTGTTGCAATATAAGTATGATTTTGGAACAGAAGTGTTTTCCAATGATTTTTTGTCCCACGTTCATTCTCACATCCCAGGCATTCTTTATTTCACACAGCTTTTCATAAAGCTTTGATTTCAATTCTAATACAAACCCTTCACTTCTCTTGAGGTAAGAAAACAATTATGAATTGGGTAAAAATCCAGAAAACTATCCCTTTAAGACACATTGAAAAAGCCTGTGCTTGTCTTGGTTGACAGAGTATATGAAAATCCCCCCTTGAGTTTTTAGCCCTATCGACTGCCCAAATATTTGCCACTAAATTAAACAAGACAGGGTCAAGAGGAGCGCTAGCGACAAGGACAGCTAACACAGTGGAGTAAACCCGATTTATTAAGCGTGGGAGTGCAGCTGCTGGCCGAGGGAGATTGATTCCCTGAAGAAATACTTAGCCCTTTGTTTCTCACAGTGTAAAGTGGCACTTTACACTATAGTGTCCAACTGCCAGGGTCAAATACATTTCTGCTATTGTCGTGTTAATGGAAGAGAAACGCTAGCCTGGTCCCAGGCCTGCTTATGCTGTCTTGCCAATTCCTATGGTGAAAGGAGTTGGCAAGTCAGCACAAACAGATCTGAAACCAGGCTATCTGAACAGTATGTGTTTATACAAACATTGACCAGTTGCCATTCATCCTGTGAGGTGACTTTAATTCACAACAAAGCTAAGCTGGACAAACAAAGCTAGTTTTGTTGCTGCTACATTCACACCTTGCAGGTTATTGTTAACCTGACACCCATCCAGCCAACTTGGCTGGGAGTAGCATAGCCTTAGAGAAAATAACATTGACAGGCTTCAGTAGGGCAGACCTGGGTTGAAATTGTATACTGAACAAAAATATAAACGCAACATGCAACAATTTCAACGATTTTACTGAGTTACAGTTCATATAAGGAAATCAGTCAATTGAAATGCATTCATTAGGCCCTGTTTTATGGATTTCACATGACTGGGCAGGGACGCAGCCATGGGTGGGCCTAGGAGGGCATAGGCCCACCCAGTGGGGAGCCAGGTCCAGCCAATCAGAATGAGTTTTTCCCTACAAAAGGGCTTTATTACAGACAGAAATACTCCTCAGTTTCATCAGCTGTCCGGGTGGCTGGTCTCAAATGATCCCGCAGATGAAGAAGCCGGATGTGGAGGTCCTTGGCTGGCGCGGTTACATGTGGTCTGCGGTTGTGAGGCCGGTTGGATGTACTGCCAAATTCTCTAAAACAACATTGGAGACAGTCTTATGGTAGAGAAATTAACATTCAGTTCTCTGGCAACAGATCTGGTGGACATTCCTATAGTCAGCATGCCAATTGAGTGCTCCCTCAAAACTTAAGACATCTGTGGCATTGTGTTGTGTGACAAAACTGCACATTTAAGAGTGGCCTTTTATTGTCCCCAGCATAAGGTGCACCTTTGTAATGATCATGCTGTTTAATCAGCTTCTTGATATGCCACACCGGTCAGGTGGATGGATTATGTTGTCAAAGGAGAAATGCTCACTAACAGGGATATAAACACATTTGTTCACAACATTTGAGAGAAATAAGCTTTTTGTGCGTATGGAACATTTTCGGGGAACTTTTATTTCAGCTCCTGAAACATGGGACCAACACTTTACATGTTGCGTTCATATTCTTGTTCAGTATATTTGCTTTCTTTCAAAACGATTTAATCTCTTTTGATTGAGCCTGCATGGAGTGCCATGTGGGCTGTGTTTACATTTTAACGATCATTCCATTGGTTGCATTGTGCTAGGCTGTTTCTCAACATTGACCCAGCTGAAGGTGGTTCCATTGTGCTAGGCTGTTTCTCAACATTGACCCAGCTGAAGGTGGTTCCATTGTGCTAGGCTGTTTCTCAACATTGACCCAGCTTCAGGTGGTTCCATTGTGGTAGGCTGTTTCTCAACATTGACCCAGCTGAAGGTGGTTCCATTGTGCTAGGCTGTTTCTCAACATTGACCCAGCTGAAGGTGGTTCCAGTGTGCTAGGCTGTTTCTCAACATGACCCAGCTAGGTGGTTCCATTGTGTAGGCTTTTTACATTGACCCAGCTGAAGGTGGTTCCATTGTGCTAGGCGTTTCTCAACATTGACCCAGCTGACAGTGGTTCCATTGTGCTAGGCTGTTTCTCAACATTGACCCAGCTGACAGTGGTTCCATTGTGCTAGGCTGTTTCTCAACATTGACCCAGCTGAAGGAGGTTCCATTGTGCTAGGCTGTTTCTCAACATTGACCCAGCTGAAGGTGGTTCCATTGTGCTAGGCTGTTTCTCAACATTGACCCAGCTGAAGATGCCTACATACAGGGCACTACACTCTTAGAAAAATGGTTCCAACCAAGGGTTCTGCAGCTGTCCCTGTAAGATAACCATTTTTGGTTCCAGATAGAACTATTTTGTGTGCCATGTAGAACCCTCTGGGTTTCTACATGGAATCCAAAAGGGTTCTACCTGGAACCAAAAGGGGTTCTTCGAAGGGTTCTCCTATGGGGACAGCAGAATAACCCTTTTTGGTTCTAGATAGCTCCATTTTTCTAAGAGTGTACAGTAGCAGACTCAACTAATGTAGCTCCCAGGGAGGTCCTTCCCTTCCCCCCCCCTTTTCCCCCCTCCTTGGCCTGGATACGTCTATGGCCTGGATGCCTGGCATTGCTGGAGAGCCTGGTGTCTTAACAGGGAATCTGTGCACAGCCCTCTGCTTCCTGATTCCACAGACAGACAGGCTGACGTGCTACATCAATGTCAGGTCAGGTGTGGCCCAAGCTAGCGGCTAACACTGGGGTAAATTAAGTAGACTGCTAGGACACAAGCTGGGGAGGGAGAGCCAGGGGTTAGAGTTCAGAGGTCAAGTGTCGCGCTTGTGGAACTGTATCAGTGTATCGTACCCAAATTGAGATGTCGGCAATTACGTTTTATCGATCCTATTTTTCTTTGATGATAACATGCGTGTTATCACCAGATTTTGTAGTTGTCAAAATGTAATTTTTCATAGGCTCCTTAATCTAAAAATCATGTTTGACAAGTTAAACCTGGTCAATAGACCTTTGAGCGACATTGAGTTAGACAGGAAGTACTGTGTTTCCCCATGTTTCCATTTGACCTGTGACCTTTTAGCAGGGGGGCGGCTTGGCATTTCAGTATTTAAGGCAGTATGACCACAGTTATGTCAGTAGAGACTGAGGGTTATTTCAGTAGTGGCTGTGTCACTGTGCCACGACAGAGGGGCCCCAGGGTCGTGTGTGTGTGCGTGCGTCCCAGCATTTACACGGCAATTGCATCAGAAACAGCTGAAGATACCCCCCACTCTTGACCCCCCCCCCCCCCCCCCCCCCCCCGCCCACACACACATACACACCTCCACCACACCCTCGCTCTGTGACTGCCAATCAAATGGCCTGAATTAGCAGAGTTGAGTACAGTAGACAGAATGGACCTAATATATACAGTGTACTGCAGTGTATGAATGTATTTTTGTTCTAATTCATCAAAAAACACAGAGTCCATTTGTGTTTTGTCTCTATCCAAATGATATCGTTTTTTTTTTAAGGTTTGATAGTGATTTTCATGCTCTTATAAAGAGTTGGTCAAACCTGTCTGAGAACGTATTCAACTGCCTGGTAGGTGTGCTGAATAACAGCCAAATATCCCAGAGGATATTGCTCTTCTCCCTACTATATATCATTATCAACAAAATAGCTCTTTTTTATTCTCTGTCCATGTAGCACACACACACACACACACACACACACACACACACACATACACACAGTCTTGTACAGCTAACCTTGTGGGGAAACACAATTCAGTCCCATTCAAAATCCTATTTTCCCTAAACCTAACCCTAACCCGTACTCTTACCCTTACCCTAACTCTAACCTTAACCCAAAAACCTAACCTTAACCCTAAACCTAACCCTAGCACCTAACCCTAAAACCAACCCTAGCTCCTAACCCTAACCCTTATCATAATTCTAACACTAATTCTAACCTTAACCCTAAACCCCCTATAAATAGCATTTGACCTCGTGGGTACTAACAAAATGTCCCCAGTTGGTCAAATTTTGGTTCGTTTACAATTCTTGTGGGGACTTCTGGTCCCCACAAGAATAGTTAAACACGTCCACATACACACGCACGCACGCACGCACGCACACACGCACACACGCACACACACACACACACACACACACACACACCACACACTTTTATGAATTTGGCTAATACCTCTTGATTTCTCTTTTTCTCTTTGCTCCCCTAGTTCCACGTAACAATGGTCACAACACCGTCTTGGGGGTGGACTTTGACATTGAGCTGGGCAACACGGCCGACGAAGCGAAGGATGACGCAGGTAAACAGAAACATTTGTCAAACCCTAACCATCTCCACGCTTCCTAACACTTCCTACAGAGGACGTAGCTCAAACGATGATGGACGAGTTCAATTCGCCAGCCCAGATTAAATTCTGCAGTGTTCTGCAACGCTTTGGAAAAAGGCTGCAAAGGGAAAGATATGATAGTGGACCAGGTGTGTTTTTGATGCGCTGTCACGGGAAAGTGACAGGTGAAATTCATCCTGCTCATTTATATGATACCTACCCAGAATGCATTGCTTCATGATTGATTGATTGATTGGTTGAGTTGAAGGTTTAATGTACCGATCACAGGAGGTTGGTGGCACCTTAATCGGGGAGGACGGGCACGTGGTAATGGCTGGAGCGGAATCGGTGGAATGGTTTCCATGTGTTTGACGCCATTCCATTTGCTCCGTTCCAGTCATTATTATGAGCCGTCCTCCCCTCAGCAGCCTCCACTGGTACCGATGCGGCAGTTAGACAAACACACTGACGCACGCACACACACACACTTGAATAAGGAAGAGCAGTGTATGCTTTGTACTTGAGAGCATTATACACCACATCTGGGGCTTGCTTATGTGTTTTATTGATGTCAATAGAACACTATTTCAATTGCCTAATGATTCCACTATGGGCTTATATTGGCTCTCCGTACTTCATCAGATCAGCGGTTTGCCATGGAACAGGGCTTTCATCGGCTCAGAGAATGATCCTGCGGTGCTTTTCACAACCCTATTTTCAGGGTCAAATTGATGAATGCTAGTTTCATCTCAGACCCAATTTGTACTTGCGACGCATGAATTAATATGGCTTATGTCCAAAACAAATAAATCTAAATCAAGATGATCATTCGTATTCGATTACTCACTGACATGACCACAACGTATTTGTTGATGGTTTATGGGGAGAAGCTAAATTAAATGATGATGTGGCTGACACACTTCGATGATCATGCACACACACACAGATGGAACACGCGCACACACACACGCACAGATGCGAATACACGATGCATTCACACAAGCACACAAGCATACACACACAAGCACACACACAAATCCACACACATTATGTAGTGAAATGAAGGCTTACTTCAGATCATTCCCATTTCATCCATCACGGCGCTCTCAGTCCACCGCTCTAGAGAAATCAATATTTGCTGTTCTTGTTCGTTCACCACCTTTCTACGTCTTTCACATCTCCTGTAAGTTCTTTCATGTACATAAGAGAGAATGGAATCTATTTTGCATCCGTTGGAATCAAAGGCACACAGCAGGAGTGATTTGAGCTACGTTCACGCAAGGAGAGCCTTTGTGTGAGCTACGTTCAAGCAAGGAGAGCCTTTGTGTGAGCTACGTTCAAGCAAGGAGAGCCTTTGTGGGGAAAAGGTACTTGAAATATGTGAAACAATGTTGTTTAAATTCGTCTTCAGAGGCTGGCTACCTGAGCTGCTCCTTTGATAACGGCCTTTGCGGTTGGATCCGGGACAAAGATGGCGACCTGCACTGGGAGACCACACCGGACCCATCTGGTAAGAACCAGAGTTCACTTATTTAGACTTTACTTTTTGCTAGCCAGATTAATGCAACCAGATTATTCTGGACATCGCTAAATAACTAGGTAAACATTTTCTAAACTGTTCAGAGGAAACAACATTTCCTTAGGGAAGGTGAAAATGAGATGCATGTCAACTTCAAAAAAGTTAACTAACCCTTTAACCTCACTTTTGCATTCAGATACTAACATTTAAATGATAAGCACAGAGATTTTCTATTCATTTTAAAACATTGGCTCTAAAAGTGTGTTGCTGGTTTTATACTGGAAGGTCTGATACTTGGTAGAACTAGCTGTGGTTATTATTCATTAAAGAAACAAATGCCTTTTGAAGCGACTGCATTATTCAACAGTATTCAAAATGTAGTCATTGACATCCCACTTCAAAACAAAACACTTGATTACAGGAGGACAGTTGGTTTTTTGCAATGGTTTCACTCAATCATATGTCAAGAGTAAATTTAATTCAGCCTAGTCTGACTTTATTTAGTAGTATAACTTTAGAGTCCCAGGAGGACAGTTTGGGGGGTTTGCCAAATTAATTTCAATGAGGACAATATTCTGTAAAACGGAGCTGCCAATAAGAAAAGGATGAAGCCATCTGATTGTGACACATGCAACTGAAAACCAAAACCAGTGATCTTATTGGACAATTTCAAGTAGCATCTCCTTAGTTCTAAACGTTTTCCCCCGTTTTCTCCTATTGAACACTACCCTGATTGTGATGTCACTTCCTCTTCCTCTTCCTCTCCACAGGTGGAAAATACCTCACCATCCCAGAGGTGGGCAACAAGAGGAGTGGGCGAGGGGCGCGCCTGGTCCTCCCGTTGACCCCTCCCTGGAACGACGGTAACCTGTGCCTGTCGTTCCGCCACAAGCTGGCAGGGCACCACGTGGGTATGCTCCAGGTGTTTGTGAAGAAAGGGAAGCAGTACAGCCCGGCCGTGTGGGGAAGGACGGGAGGCAGCGGCTGGAGACATACCCAGATCACACTGTGGGGCATGGGACTGGAGAGTGTGAGTATACAGTAGAGTACACATATGAATGAATAAAGAATGAAAGAGAGAGAGAGAGAGTAGAGAGAGAGAGAGAGCGAGAGCGACGAGAGCGGATAGCATATATAGGAGAGTAGGCTAGGAGCATGCGCTAATATGAGACTAGATAGCGAGCATACGAGACTATCTAGATGTGAGAGCAGCGATATAGATCCTGCTATATCAGGGCTTTATTATCTGAAGTAGATTAGATAGTCTATCATCTCTCTATCATACTAGAGCATAGAACTCGATCCTCTTCCTCTCGATCTCTTCTAGTAGAGTGCCTCCTGATTGGCGTAGCGGTCTAAGGCAGTGCTGAGGCGCCACTACAGCCTCGGGTTCCATCCCAGGCTGTGTCACAGCCGGCCGTGCCCGGGAGACCCATGGGGCGGTGCACAATTGGCCCAGCATCGTCCGGGTTAGGGGAGGGTTTGGCTGGCCGGGATTTCCTTGTGGCGGGCCGGGCGCCTGCAAGCTGCCTTTGGTCATCAGTTGGACGGTGTTTCCTCCATTGTCATCATGGTACAGGACAGGCTTCACAGATATTTAAGAGGAAGCGTTGTGTCAAAAGCAGTGCGGCTTGGCATGGTCAGTGTTTACAGAGGTACGCTATGGCTAATCGCCTTCGCATCTCCGAGTCGTGTAAGGGGAGTTGCAACAGATAACTAGATCGTAACTAACAATTGGATATCAGAGAACAGGGGTAAGAGTACAAACATATACATAATAGAGAGTTAAAGCAGTATACAGTAGTATATAGAGTATAAAGCAGTATACAGTAGTATATATAGAGTATAAAGCAGTATACAGTAGTATATAGAGAGTGTAAAGCAGTATACAGTAGTATATAAAGCGTGTAAAGCAGTATACAGTAGATAATAGAGAGTGTAAAGCAGTATACAGTAGTATAGAGAGTTAAACGATACGTGTAAAGAAGTGAAAGCAGTATACAGTAGTATATGAAAGCGTGTAAAGCAGTATACAGTAGTATATAGAGAGTATACAGTAGTGTATAGAGTATAAAGCAGTATACAGTAGTATATAGAGAGTGTAAAGCAGTATACAGTGGTATATAGAGAGTGTAAAGCAGTATACAGTGGTATATAGAGAGTATAAAGTAGTATACAGTAGTATAGAGAGAGTGTAAAGCAGTATACAGTAGTATAGAGAGAGTGTAAAGCAGTATACAGTAGTATATAGAGAGTGTAAAGCAGTATACAGTAGTATATAGAGAGTGTAAAGCAGTATACAGTAGTATATAGAGAGTGTAAAGCAGTATACAGTAGTATATATAGTGTAAAGCAGTATACAGTAGTATATAGAGAGTGTAAAGCAGTATACAGTAGTATATAGAGAGTGTAAAGCAGTATACAGTAGTATAAAGAGCATGTAAAGCAGTATACAGTAGTATATAGAGAGTATAAAGCAGTATACAGTAGTATATAGAGTGTAAACCAGTATACAGTAGTATATAGAGTATAAAGCAGTATACAGTATTATAAGAGAGAGTATAAAGCAGTATACAGTAGTATATAGAGAGTGTAAAGCAGTATACAGTAGATTAGAGAGAGTGTAAAGCAGTATACAGTAGTATATAGAGAGTGTAAAGCAGTTTACAGTGGTATATAGAGAGTGTAAAGCAGTATACAGTAGCATATATAGAGAACACCTTCCAAATATTGAGTTGCACCCCCTTTTTCCCACAGAACAGCCTCAATTCGTTGAAAGCGTTCCACAGGGATGCTGGCCCATGTTGACTCCAATGCTTCCCACAGTTGTGCCAAGTTGGCTGGATGTCCTTTGGGTGGTGGACCATTCTTGATACACACGGGAAACTGTTGAGATTTAAAAACCCAGCAGCATTGCAGTTCTTGACACACTCAAACCGGTGCGCCTGGCACCTACTACCACACCCCGTACAAAGGCACTTAAATCTTTCGTCTTGCCCATCCACCCTCAATGTCATACATACACAATTCATGTCTCAATTGTCTCAAGGCTTTAAAATCCTTCCTCCCCTTCATCTACACTGATTGAAGTGGATTTAACAAGTAACATCAATAAGGGATCGTAGCTTTCACCTGGTCAGTCTATGTCATGGAAAGAGCAGCTGTTCCTAATGTTTTTTATACTCAATGTATAAAGTATAAAGCAGTATACAGTAGTATGTCTGACACCAACATCACACTTGACTTGTCTTTTCCATCTGTGACTGACCTGTAGCAACAACTGGTACATTGGTTATTGGAGTGTATGTTTGAATCATGGTTGTCCTCAATTGATGTTCTACTACTACGCTATGGAGGAACTATGATTGTCGGAGAGTACCCTGTCGGAAAGTACCCTGGTGAAGAGCTCCTGGCTTTCTCCCTGGCTAACCATCGATGCCCGCCTCCTCTCAAGCCATACCAGAAACTGCCTTTCTCCCTGACTAACCATTGATGCCCACCTCCTCTCAAGCCATACCAGAAACGGCCTTTCTCCCTGGCTAACCATCGATGCCCCCCTCCCCTCAAGCCAAACAAGAAACTGCCTTTCTCCCTGGCTATCCATCGATGCCCCCCTCCCCTCAAGCCATACCAGAAACTGCCTTTCTCCCTGGCTAACCATCGATGCCCCCCTCCCCTCAAGCCATACCAGAAACTGCCTTTCTCCCTGGCTAACCATCGATGCCCCCCTCCCCTCAAGCCATACCAGAAACTGCCTTTCTCCCTGGCTAACCATCGATGCCCCCCTCCCCTCAAGCCATACCAGAAACTGTCTTTCTCCCTGACTAACCATCAATGCCCCCCTCCTCTCAAGCCATAGCAGACTGCCTTTCTCCCTGGCTAACCATCGATGCCCCCCTCCTCTCAAGCCATAGCAGACTGCCTTTCTCCCTGGCTAACCATCGATGCCCCCCTCCCCTCAATCCATAGCAGACTGCCTTTCTCCCTGGCTAACCATCGATGCCCCCCTCCCCTCAAGCCATACCAGAAACTGCCTTTCTCCCTGGCTAACCATCGAAGCCCCCCTCCCCTCAAGCCATACCAGAAACTGTCTTTCTCCCTGACTAACCATCAATGCCCCCCTCCTCTCAAGCCATAGCAGACTGCCTTTCTCCCTGGCTAACCATCGATGCCCCCCTCCTCTCAAGCCATAGCAGACTGCCTTTCTCCCTGGCTAACCATCGATGCCCCCCTCCCCTCAAGCCATAGCAGACTGCTTTTCCATACTACCTTGGTCTGAAGCTGACTAGTCACATTCCATTTTGATAATTAGTTGTACCAGTTTTTTTGTTTTGTTTTTGCTTCTCAAGTGCTTTGAGATTACATTTTGTAATGAAAAGTGCTATATAAGCTAAATAACGTATTTCTTGTACTGCGTTGTTGTTCCCAGGTGATCCTGAAGGGGGAGCGCGGGCGCGGCCGGAGCGGAGAGATGGCTGTGGATGACATCACCTTGAGAAAAGGCTCCTGCACCGATGAGCACAATCTGAAGAGCCATTAATACACACAGCAGAGAGAGAGACAGAGAAAGAAGGAAGGAAAGGTGTGGAGAGGAGATAGAGCCCAGGGAGGAGCAGACTCTGATTGGACCCCCATACAGGGTCCAAGAGCACCTCTGGGGAGAAGGGGCATTTCTGTCTGCCTGTCCACCAACAAGAGGACTGCACCAAACCTGTCCACCAATTACAAGACTGTACCAAACCTGTTCACCAATAAGAAGACTGAACCAAACCTGTCCACCAATAAGAAGACTGAACCAAACCTGTCCACTAATAAGAAGACTGAACCAAACCTGTCCACCAATAAGACTGAACCAAGCCCGTCCACCAATAACAAGACTGCACCAAAACTGTCCACCAGTAAGAAGACTGCACCAAACCACATGGGAGAAAGAGGGTCCCCCATGAGATCCCCCACCACCCCTACCCTCTCTCTCCAACTCTCCATCACCCGGTTCCTCACTATTAACCTGTGCATGCCCCGGTAACCCTGGAAACGTCCCTGTGAGGACAGCCACCCAGCCAACCACACTGTCCAAAGGCCTCCATCGATGTCTTTTTCCTGGACGAAGGAGAGTATTCTGTCTTGCCATCATCTCTTGTTTGAGGAGTTTCATCACCTTGCTTTCAGATTTTAATCATAAGCCATATCTGATTGTTTGCTATCCATTAAAGAGTCCTCCCGGGGATGTTCAATTAGATTGTATGACTGTTTTTAACCTGTGTCGTGTTCATTAGGTACCAAACAGGGGAAAAACTGACTGAAATAGGGAGGGACGAGGGCTTGTCCAATAAGAAACAATTATTTTAGTTTTCCGTTGCAGAGCGTTTTTAAAATGTTTCCCGTTCTGTGCCCTAATGAACGCGACCCAGAGACAACAAGAGAAGACACCAACCTGGGATGATAACGGGGAGAAGGAAAAATACAAACCCCAGTTTATTTAGACAAATCTAATTCTGTAGAACCAGTGCTAAAGCACTCTTATGTTACTATAGCTACAACTGTATGCAAGTTCACATGATAATCCATTATTATAATTATTTTCTCCCACGGCAAGATTTTTTGTATATTTTAATGCAGTATTTGAAAGACTTTCTGAAATGGGTCTCGCAAGTAGTGGCGTGTGAATTCTGAATTTTAAGATTGACCGTGATTTCTTTCTATGTGCTTTGTTCTATTAAGTGCAAGTTGGTTGTACTGACGATGACGGTATCAACGATTTTTGGCTCTCACCAAGTGTATTATTGTAAATGTAATCGTGTGTACATATTCTAGAACACTTTTATGCTCATATTAAGCTGTGTGGTTTATATGTTTATGTAAATTCAGACTTAAGTATTAATTGGAGTTGGAAAATGTATGATTTTTGGTTGTTTCTATAATTCAAGATCAATATATGGATAAACATTTAAACCTTGTGGGAATACAAGGCTGTTTACAGTACATCAATTACCATATTTTCTGTTGATGTTTTATGTTGAATTACTAGATCGCTTCCTCAGTAGTTTTTTTACGTTTCGCTGTACACAGTTGCATTATTGTGTCATCTGCCATAATGAAGGTTCTGATCTGTTGGAAATTCAAACTGTACTGTATGCATGGATCAGTTCACCAAATTCTCATAATATACTCAGCCAATTATGTAAATAAAAGGACATTGACTGATACATGTTTGACTAAGCGTGTCTTTGTCATGTTGTCTTTGCCTTTGCTGTGTAAGCTCCTGAGTGGCGCATTGGTCTAAGGCACTGCATCGCAGTGCTAACTGTGCCACTAGAGATCCTGGTTCGAATCCAGGCTCTGACTCATGGGCGGCGCACAATTGGCCCAGCGTCGTCCAGGGTAGGGGAGGGAATGGCCGGCAGGGATGTAGCTCAGTTGGTAGAGCATGGCGTTTGCAATGCCAGGGTTGTGGGTTCGTTTCCCACGGGGGGCCAGTATATAAAAAAATAAAAAATAAAAAAATAAATATTCACTAACTGTAAGTCGCTCTGGATAAGAGCGTCTGCTAAATGACTAAAATGTAAATGTAAATAAGGAAATTCACATGAGCACCACAATGCCGACTCCACCCATGTTCTACTAAGGTTTTCCAGCACATAGCTTTGACCTACTACAGTAGCTATGTTGCACAGGAGGTTGGTGGCACCTTAATTGGGGAGGACGGGCTTGTGGTAATGGCTGGAGTGGAATTAGTGGAATGGTATCAAATACATCAAACACATGGTTTCCAGGTGTTTGATGCCGTTCCATTGACTCCGTTCCGGCTATATGAGCTGTCCTCCCCTCAGCAGCTTCTTGTGCTGTGTTGGTCTATTGTACTTCAAACAATGTGTATGCAGGTTGCTAAGGATTCAAACCTTCTCAAACAGCCTAATTCATACTCTTTGAGGAGGTCCTTCCACAATAATGTAATTTGGACCTCATACAAGTTAAAGTACTGGATTCTTCACACACCACACTAATCCCATTCCATTACCTTTTTCAAGCTTTTTCTTATTACGTGAAAGCAAGCTTTGCTTTTAAACTTACAATACTATCACACTTGATTGAGCGAGCTGTTTTGTCTTGTAGTGATGTGGTGCCTGCCTGTATTTCCATAAACCATTATTTTGGCAATACATGTAATTGAGAAAAAAATAATTTTGGGGGTCAGTAGGTGTGTTGGACACAGTCACTCATATATAGAGATCTATTCATGGGTTGCATGTTTCGTCACAATATTGTTTTGAATGCTCGTTTTGGGTTGTTGCCCGACTGAGCATTCTACTCAATGCATCATCAATGCCCCCTCCTGTACTCCCTGTTCACCCATGACTGTGTGGCCAAGCACGCCTCCAACTCAATCATCAAGTTTGCAGATGACACAACAGTAGTATTATCAACAATGACAAAACAGCCTACAGGGAGGATGTGAGGGCTCTGGGAGTCTGGTGCCAGGAAAATAACCTCTCACTCAACGTCAACAAAACAAAGGAGATGATCGTGGACTTCAGGAAACAGCATAGGGTGCACCCCCCTATCCCAAGAACACAGTGGCCTCCGTCATTCTTAAATGGAAAAAGTTTGGAACCACCAATACTCTTCCTAGAGCTGGCCGCCCGGCCAAACTGAGCAATCAGGGGAGAAGGGCCTTGGTCAGAGGGTGACCAAGAATCTGATGGTCACTCTGACAGAACTCCAGAGTTCCTCTGTGGAGAAGGGAGAACCTTCCAGAAGGACAACCATCACTGCAGCACTACACCAATCAGGCCTTTACGGTAGAGCAGCCTGGACGGAGGCACAAGACAGCCAGCTTGGAGTTTGCCAAAAGGCACCTAAAGGACTCAGACCATGAGAAACAAGATTCTCTGATCTGATGAAACAAAGATTGAACTCTTTGGCCTGAATGCCAAGTGTCAGGTCTGGAGGAAACCTGGCACCATTCCTACGGTGAAGCATTGTGGTGGCAGCATCATGCTGTGGGGAAGTTTTTCAGTGGCAGGGACTGGGAGACTAGTCAGGATCGAGGGAAAGATGAATGGAGCAAAGTAAAGAGAGATCCTTGATGAAAACCTGCTCCAGAGCGCTCAGGACCTCAGACTGGGGGCGAAAGTTCACCTTCCAACAGGACAATGACCCTAAGCACACAGCCAAGACAACGCAGGAGTGGCTTTGGAACAAGTCTCTAAATGTCTTTGAGTGGCCCGGCCAGAGCCCGGACATGAACCCGATCGAACATCTCTTGAGAGACCTGAAAATAGCTGTGCCATGACGCTCCCCATCCAACCTGACAGAGCTTGAAAGGATCTGCAGAGAAAAATGGGAGAAACTCCCAAATACAGGTGTGCCAAGCTTGTAGCGTCATACCCAAGAAGACTCGAGGCTGTAATCGCTGCCAAAGGTGCTACAACAAAGTACTGAGTAAAGGGTCTGAATACTTATGTGATATTTCAGTTTTTAGTTTTTAATACATTTGCAAAAATGTCTAAAACCAGTTTTTGCTTTGTCATTATGGGGTATTAGGTGTAGATTGAGGAGGGGGGGGGGGGAAACAATTAAATTAATTGTAGAATAAGGCTGTAACGTAATAAAATGTGGAAAAAGTCAAGGTGTCTGAATACTTTCCTGAATGCACTGTAAATGAAGATAGTTCACTCAGGCTGTTTCCTTTATTTTTATAGTCAGTTCTGGTCTACTTAACTGGGTGTGTCTCCCATAGACACCAATGCAATAACAGCTGAGTCTGGTCTACTTAGTTCATTGAACCAGAAAAAAACAGCAAGTGGTGTGTCTCGCATACTCTTCCGTCTCTGATCCTAATTGGAGAGCCATGACCCTAGTTAGCAATGCCTTATGGGGATTGGAGTTCTTTGGGGTGGTATTTAGGAGGTGATGGCTATTTCAAGGTTCACTCTACTGATTGTGCCATACTAGACACACCAAACCAAAGTATCTGATGATGATACAGAAGTCAGAAGTTAAAACTTAAGTTGACCTGAATATTTAGTTTGAAATCACAAATATATTTTTTGCACTTTGACCCTTCATCTACTCGTCTAGGTAGGGGTAATGAACTTGTAAAAATACAACCCAGTACAAAGAAATTTGACATGTACGATGTTCTGGGTAAATTTGACCCTCACTTTGACCTTGACCTTTATAACTCTTGAATGGTGTGTCCTAGAAACAAGCTGCTTCCTGCACAGAGGCTGAGCAACACTGATCTGAAGTGGAGTAAAGGTTAAATAAAACGGAGTTGCTGAGGATCTGACTTTTCCCTGACCATTTTTTCTCCGGACTAAAGATCCCGAAACTTCTGCTCATGTGCGGATCACGTTCTGCTCATGTGTTTATTCTCTCCTTGCTCTACTCTTAGAGAACAGGCAACTCTGGTGAATAGTGCTGTTTAATAAAGTTGGATCAAAGCTGAATCAATGTCTGCAAGATCACATAATGAACCGACTATAATAGCATAATATTACATTACCGTAAGACAAAAACACCACCGCATTTTTCTCTCATGTGGCCAAAACTTAACAGGGCCACTAGGCAAAATACACAGGTAGGCTATGCTACAGTTTGTTAACACCATCTGCTCTAACATTCACTCAATGTAGGCTAGTTCGAAACAACACCGTATAACTCAAGAAGATCGAACTGATTGAGATTAAATGGTTGGTATGCAGATACTGCATGGATGTTTCACCGGTAAAACTTGAAGAATTATCATTCTCGATTGACAGTGAGAAATGTGAAGGGAAGGAGAACTACATTGTTTTTAGAAGAAATGGTCCGGGAAAAGTCAGATCCTTAGCCACAGCCTAAATAAAAAAGGTTAACACATTTTTTTATTTTTTATAAATAATAATAATAATAATAATAACAACAACGAAAAAATGACCCAGAACATCAATCGTATATAGTATTTTCTAACATAACAGAAGGGTTAAGTAAAATATTATTTCTAAACTGTTTCACTTCTAGTTCAAGTGCAACATGTATCTAACAATTGAACCACAAAGTCAACTACCTAGGTTGCATTTATTAGGGCACACCGTAGCAAAAGGTTGTAAAACATGCTTCAACAGAAAATGAAAACAAGTGGTTCTTATTGGACAAGTCCAGGTAGTCTCTCCCTGTATCTGTGTGTTTTCTTCCATTTGGTGCCTAATAAATACGAACCCCTGACTCAATTTACAGGGCCACACTGTTCTCCACATTGTTGGGATTCAGGTAGGTGTATGACAGGGGCAAAGAGACATTCCTGCCTTGGATTTCAAAGTTGTATCTCTTCAGCATATCTTGAGTTTCATGAATCAGTTCCAGAGGAGTCTTTTCGCTGAAGTGATCCTGATAGCCATTTCCAAGAGCGACCTAAGGAGGCAAGAGAGTTGATGAAATTTGAAATAACATAGAAACTGTTGTTTCATGAACCACTGATGATATTTTAATTATGAATACTAAGGAAACGATTTGATTGGGATTGTCATTAAATGTTTTAACATCATAGAATATACTGTTTTTAATACAGTTTCTCTCATATACTCACATAGTCAGTGGACTGCTTGCTCAGAAGGTACACCACTGCCATGCCATTGACGGTGGTGTTGATGTCAGGGAAGGTCTTCAGCATGGTGCTCTCAGTACACTGCCCCTTAGTGGTGGGAGGAGGCTGTTGCAGGGAGATGGGGAAGTTGGGCATCCAGCCGCCAAAATCAAACTGGAATGACAATGGCAAAATAGATCAAACCACTTTGCTTTTCCAATATAATAGATCAGAAACACATCAAACTAAAATCACACAATAGGTTTCATTACCTGCCCATTGTTGACTGCAGCATGTTGGACAGACACTGTGAAAATCACCATGGTGTTAAACTTGACCAGCTCTGTCACTGAACTGAAAGACTGAGGGATTCCTGCATGGAGAAGGTACAATAAACCATTTCATTCAGACACTGTATTGACATTTTGCAAATTATCCGGGATATAGTTTGGGAATGTTAACCATGAAAGGGAAGTTGACCTAAAATCCAGAAATTCCCAAGTGATTCGATACATTGAAACTAGTTTGTAGGAGTTTGCAATCTCCCCCTCTCTCTCCCTGTAGTGCCGAACACAGACAGCTGCAAAAACAGGTCACATGATGCATTATGTATCATTGTACACTGCTCACTTTGCTTCGTTGTCAGTGAATGAGTCAATCAGAAATCTGTGAATTGTGGACAAATGCTTTGTTTTATTGAAAGCATACGGCCGAATAAGCCATTTTTTGTGGAACGTTAATTGATTATCTACCTAGCAACTACTTTGCTCTATTCTGATTGGTCAGATGTTTGTTAATTGTTGGAAGTAAACAGGAAGTGCAGCAGTTGATGTGTGGCTGTAACCATGTTCAGTTGATGATTAAATCTACAAAAGAGTAATCGTCTCCATCCAGTTTGTATCCACAGACTCATCCATCCACCATTGGAAGAACCCTGAAACTACATTAGTGTCAGCAGCGGTGCTATTGTCTTGACAGTTTTGTGTTTTTGCTGGTTATTTTTCCATGGACATTGTGGATACCGTCACCAGCTAGCACTAGGATAAAGGACTAATCTGGACAGCTGGTAAGAGCTAGCTACTATCTTTTTTCTGAGATATTTAGAGGATTACTGCAGTTTTTGTCACTTTTGCAAAAATGTTTAAGCCTTTTTGCCAACCTGTTGCTACTTTCTTGGAACAACGTGTCTGAAACAGAATCTCTGAACAACAATGGCCCTGAACCTCTGGCTAATGCTAAATAAGCTGGACTTTTGGACAATTCTAATCAAGCTGGACATTTGGACAATCAGTGGTGGAAAAAGTACCCAATTGTCATACTTAAGTAAAAGTATAGATGCCTTAATAGAAAGTTACTCAAGTAAAAGTGAAAGTCACCCAGTAAAAAAGTCTAAAAGTATTTGGTTTTAAATATACTTAAGTATCAAAAGTAAATGGAATTGCTAAAATATACTAAGTAAAGCAGATGGCACCATTTTCTTGTTTTTAAAAATGTACAGATGGCTAGGGGCACACTCCAACACTCAGACATTATTTACAAAAGATGCATTTGTGTTTAGTTGGTCCGCCAGACCATAGGCAGTAGGGATGACCACATGTTCTCTTGATACGTGCGTGAATTTCACAATTTTCCTGTCCTGCTAAGCATTCAAAATGTAATGTCGTTTGCCTGCTGGTCTCGTCGCTTTGAAGTGGCTGTGCAGGCTATGTACAATCTGCCAGATATGGAGTTGGACATGTGTTAGCCTCAGTATTGCCCACACACCTAGCTGATTCAGCATTCTTCTACTGGGATAGCCTTTCGCCAATGGTTCAGAAGACCTACTCTGTTGTCAAGACCAAACTCAAGGAAGTCTTTGGCCCCAAGCACTGTCTTCCATTCTTTCAGACAAATGCGAATGCTCGCCCTGGGAAGCCTGGTGAGAGCTTGAATGTGTACAGTGATGACATCACTCGTTGGTTCTAGAGGCCTTCCCAGACTATGACCATAAGGCACAGGAGGGGGAGAAGTTTCACCAATTCGCGGCTGGATTGGACCCTGCCTTGCAGGCGAAGATTCATGAAAATGGAGCGGAGGACATCGGTGATGCACTGCTAGTCGCAAGTTGCTTTGAAAGAGCATGTGCAGCTCTCCAACTACATGCTACATACCCGCCAGTGGCACAGACCCCAGACTAGGTTGCAATGGTTCCTTCTAATGACACGGATGAGAAGCTCATTCATGCTGTGAAACAGCTGACTCTCACTGTGAATGGCCTGAAGAATGAGGTACGCCAGCTACAGGAGGAAAACCAGAACCTCACACAGCGTTTAGCCTTCTGGGCCGACAGGACCTGCACCCCATCCAATGATGCTGCCAGTAGAGCACTTGGCTTCTCACCAGACCATCAAACTCAACATCCATCATGAGCCTACGACGTGGCCGTGGCCTAGAGTGTCACCGTCAGTACCTTCCTGCCTCTCCAGAGTACTGCCAAGGCCAGCGTGATTGGGACTCTGATGGTGGAAGCTGTCGCTACTACTCTCTAGACTACCCACCAAGAGTTCACTACCCAGACTACAGGCACCAGTCTGATGCAAGGGACAGATGACACAACAGCCTGAGTCCACCTCCAAGGAGAGAAGGATAGGTAAGCCCTCACTACAGGCGCAGTGTATACTTCCAGTCCCCTGACAGACATAGGCAGCCTAACGTGTCTGGTTCCACACAGCAGGGAAACGATCACTAGTTGTCGTTAAGGAGCAAACTTCAGCCAGTGCACTAGAGCTCCCTGTTGACACCCCACAATTCAAAATCGAAAGTGACAAGATGGCTTCCGCAGAGCGCGTTTCAGCTAACATTCTTGCCATCTGAGGATTTCAGAACTTCACATCCAGCGCTGAAAAAGTGCCCCAAGAAGACATCCTTTGCGTTCGCTCGCTCTGTCAATGGACAATGTTTGGACGTTCCCTGGACTTTGTCAATAGGCATTTCCCCTAGGGAAAGAATACCTCAAGCATGAGTTTCAAGTTGTCAGAGGGGCCCACCATCCAGTGATACTGGGCTGGGATTTCCTGCAGCAACACCATGCCCTACTGGATATCGCTGCACTCCCTGTGAATATAGATGACTTGTCTTTGTGCTGCTTGTTGCTACTGTTGCTACAGTCCCCCCCCCCCTGCTCAACTTTTTCACCCCGGACGCTTTATCTGGACATGGTTCTACAGGACCTCCACCAGCCGAAAAAGGTAAGTAGTAACATTAACACTATGCCATCTAATTGCAGTCGCTGTACTCATAATATACAGGAGCACTATCGCCTTATGGTGAGGATAGTCCTGTTGCAAGCCCAGCTTCAGATGCAATCGTTAGGCAAGGGCAATTTAAGTGTAGGAAATGATGAAATAGCATCTGTGCCACCAGTAAGTACAGATAGTAATATAAATCCCCCCGCACAGTACCCGCAGTGTTATGAGTTTCTGGTATTGAGAAGTTCAAGATGCAAGAATTTACTTAGACATTCTGTGGAGATTTTATACCAAGTAGTTATTGGATCACGAGCTCGTGGGTTCATCTAACAAACGGACATGGCTTTGCCCTTCGTCAGTTGAACTGCCCACACATACAAATCTAACCTCCTTTATACTCTTGGTTATACTCCCTTTCACATACATCTGGCAGCCATCATAGCACTCCCTTTCTCTGTTGTTATTACCCTAAACATCAGTAATCTCCTTTGACATAATGGAATGTAGACTTTCTGTCTCCTAACCACTTATCTAGTAACTCTAACCTGTTCCCCACGATACTATGACATGACATCATTACACCATAAAAACATAATATCACGCAGCCAGACAATCTTCTCAAGGCTTCTGGAAAGAAATGCTGTCGGCATGCTCAACTGGTGTCGCTCATTCAGCCGACAGAAACTTTAAACCGGTTCTCCCCATTAAGCAATATGGTGGCAAAAATTGCTTTTATAATGTTTATCTAGTGTATCTATTCATTTAACTTAAAGTCACAATGTACTAATGAGACTTGTTCCCTCTGCCAGAACACTTCCCATTTGTCTACGTGACGGACTCATGGTTCTGGACTTACAGCCAAATGCTGTTATTCCATATCCTGTTATTCAGCAGTAGACTGAACTAAGCTGTGAGAGACGAGCAAGACAAATGGTTTCGGTTCCTTTTTAGAAACAGTGTCGAGACAAGACCTCACCACAGGCCAACCACAGTTTCTCAGTTCCATAGTCCTTTGACTGTACATTAGGGTCACCAACCAGTGCTTCCTCATGGCTATAGTTCTGTCTGGTTGTCACAACCCAAAGGGAGGTTGTACTCTTCTAATAAAAGCTGAGACCCAACTCTTTTTCATTGGGCTCTTAACTATGCACCTGTTGTGTGATTGTTGACCGCTCCAGAATTGCAATTCTTATAATAAAATAAGTTGTTTGAAGAATATACAGTCTCTGAATGTTCCTAAGTGGCTGAGTTACAGTTTTGACTTTAATGTATTCTGTATTTCATTTTCAATAAAATTGCAAAAAAAATTGAAAACATGTTTTCACTTTGTCATTATTGGTATTGTGTGTAGATGGGTGAGAAAATAATTATATTTAATCCATTTTGAATTCCAGCTGTAACGCAACAACGTGGAATAAGCCAAGGGGTACGAATACTTTCTTTCTGAAGGCACTTTATGTGCTTGTGGTGCAGGATTACTTTTCAAAGTACATCAACCTCTACGCCATGAAAGACCAGCACTCTACAATTGTGGACAAGTGTCTCTTCAAGAACTTTGTCAGCAAACATGGCATACCAGAGACCTTGAACACTGACCAAGGACATCAGTTTGAGTCCGACATCGTCCGAGACCTTTGCCAGTTGCTGGGAGTTAAGAAGACCAGAACCAGCCCCTATCATCCACAATGTGATGGGATGGTGGAACAATTTCAAATCGGACACTCATCGATCAGCTGGCCAAGACACTGCCTCAACAGCCTGGTGACAAGTGCTTAAACCAACTTGCCCTGGCCTACAACACCAGCACTCACTCTACAATGGGTTTCAGCGTCTTCTGTCTGACACATGGTTAAGAAGCGAAGATGCCAGCCAAACTACTGTTCCCCGCTGGACCGCAGCGGTCCGTCTCTACAGCGGGATCGCCAGCAGATTATGCAGCTCAACTCATCGACAAGGTCCAGTCTGCCCTTGGATCTGCCACACAGAACAAAGAACATGCTCACTTTCAACAAAAACGCAACTACGACAAGAATGTCATGCACATTCCCTACAACCCAGGAGACATTGTGTGCCTTAAAGACCCTACAACATCACATCAGAAGCTTTCACAACACTGGAAAGGACCCTTTGAGGTAATGGAGTGCCTTGGATCTACAGAAGAGGACCCTGGTGTAACCTACAGGATCAGGTACCTGCTGGACCAATCTAACAAGACCCAAGTGATCCACTAAAACCGTTTAAGACCGTACACCTCAACTGTACCCTGACATGGAACGAATGAGCCTGTGGAACACTTACCTGCACCTCCTTGACCTCTGACCCTGACAGCCCAGGTGCCTTACCCTTCAGGTCCTCAAGACCCTGTGAGACATGGGAGCGCTACTTACCTGAGCTGTCCCTGGATCCCTCTGTGCCCCACCAGGCCCCTCATCAGGCCCCTTGTCAGGACCCCTCTGCCCGGCCCAGGCCATTAGACATTGACCGACCTGACCCCTCAGTAGACCAGATGTCTACACCCCAACCAGCAGTACTGGAGCAAAGTTCCTCTGAGCGCCCAGGTCGCCACCGAGTTAGTCTCTTAAGTGACAGGGTAGTCTATGTACTGAAGTGAGAAGACTACAGATCTTTGGACCTCCAGCAGTATTTTTTTCTTATTGAGTGTAGAAACGGGGACGTTTCTCTAGGGGGAGGCAGGAAGAAATGTAAGATTATTGTATGAGAGTTATTATTATTTTCAAAGCCACTGTTGTTAGTTCTAAAATGTGGTGAATCAGTTGTTTGGAATTGGAATGGTAATGGATTATCTACCTCACAACTACTTTGTGCTATTCTGATTGGTCAGATGTTTGCTAATTGTTGGAAGAGAACAGGAAGAATGGCAGTTCATGCATGCTTGTAACAGTGTTCAGTTGAAGATTAAATCTACAAAAGAGTAATCAGTCTCCATCCCGTTTGTATCCACAAAGAGAGTCATCCATCCACCATTGAAAGAACCATCAAACTACATTAGTTTCTGTAACCATGTTTCCATCCACAGTTTTTATGTAAGTCATACCGTATAAAACAATAATAAAGACAGCTGTAACGGAAACAGGATAAATATTGAGGGGTTTATTCTGGTGACATGATGATAGATGCTTGACTGCCGTTTGACAAATACAAATATTCTCGCTCTTATCCATAATATTCTCATTTTTTTTAAATTGTTTTTATTTCACCTTTATTTAACCAGGTAAGCCAGTTGAGAACAAGTTCTCATTTACAACTGCGACTACCCGCACTGTATCTGCCAGCTGTTGGCTAGAGCTTACATGTCAAGACCAGAGTAGGCACATTTGCTATTTAACGCAACAGTTTTTGTGAAAACTATCGATAGTTAAAAATGTGATGGAAACACATTGAACTTTAGATTTTTTATTTTTTATGAAAACTTAAGCGAAAAAGTTAATTTTGTCATCATGCACTGATTCTTTTTAAAATCCGCAACAAGTCCATTTGGTGGAAACGTCACTGGTGGGAAAATGTGAGAAGAAAAAAATAAGTGGGGATTTTAGAATATTCACATGAAAATCTGATGCCAATTGGTTGCAAACCTAGATACTGTATGGAATCACTTGGGATTTTCCGGATATTACGTTTATTATCAGAAATATTAAATCAACAAATCAGATCTGTACTTTTGTATTGCACTGATGTGGTATTATGATTAAGAGTTGAGAAAGTGGTAGTGTGTCTTTTTAAATGAGAAAAGTGCAACCTGTGCTGGTTTCGGCCAGGAACCCATGGAAGAAGATATCCTTGATCCAGTTCTGCAGTTCACAGTCCTTCTGGACGTCTGCGTCACAGGTGTAGTAGTGACCAATCACTCTCTGAACAAACCTATACAAAACCACAGGACAACATCAGGTATTAGCCAAACACTATGACAAAACACAGCAGGGCCGTTCCACCAGTTAGGTGCCTTATGAGTAGTGTAACTTGGTGATTTAAAAAAAATGTATTTAACAACATTTTTACATTCTGTCATAAAGAGCACGTTAAACTTCATATTTTTTTTTATCATCAAGAGGTTATTAAATAAAAAAATACTATAGTAAGTGGCTATTAAGTGACTAACAAAGTAACAGGGTTGACCGTAAGTGTTTTGACGATTTTATCTTAAATCAGCCATAAATCTCGAGGTGACAGGGGGAATGGAAGCTTGTTGTGTGCAACATGGAGGGGCAATTGAATGTAAGCTTCATTGTGAAAACATTTCTAGCCTATCTATGGGTAACTGGGTTGATGTGTTATGCTCGGCCCGCACACCTGCTTTTACACTACGATTTGACTAGATGTTCAATGTTTCTTTATGAAAAAAATATTTTAAAAAAAAAGGAATAGTTTCACCATTTTAAAAAGCGAGTTCAGTTCACCTAACACGATTGACCTTAAAATGAGGAACAGGTTTTATTTTTACCTTAAAATGAATCACTAATCATGTGAAATATATAATAATCTTCAGAAATTACTTTGTCAAAGCAACAAAATAATTAAAGCTTTAAAATGGTGAAAACTTGGAGACATTTTGAGGTTAAGTGGGTTAACATCTTCCTAGAAGTCACAGAGAATGCACAGAGGGACATGTCAAAATGCTGAATTTCTGCACTTTAGCAAGACTTTATTCATATTAAAAAATGTATTGAATTTTCCATGAGGTCTATTTAATATAGCTTTAGTATAACAGGCTTTTAAAATATCAAAGGGACACAAAAGGCACTCATTTCATGGAACGACCCAGCACTGATATTATGGGCAACATTGTCAGTGCAAAAAACACAGTAAACCTCATTATAATCTGGCAGCTGATTTACTTTGGGGGAAGGAGTAGACTAGAGTTAACTAGAGTTTAGTAAATCGAGCAATGCAAAAATGTAGTTGCATGAACTAGCCTCCTTATAACGCACAAATCAAATTATAATGAAGTTTACGATATTTATTTGACAGATCTGGGCATTTTTTTATTACCACAAAACTCTATAGACCTGTACACAAACTACCTGTGAACAATGTCCCACATCTTGAGTCCATCTTCCCTGTAGAAGAAGTTGGGGATTGACTCCAGACCGCGTGCTGTGATGTCCTCCGGCATACAGAGGGAGCTGTAGGTCAATGAGGCCACCGCTTTCTTCAGGAACTCCATCATCCCTGGACCTCCAATACTTGCATTCTTCAAGATGGGTTAAAGGGATAGTTCACCCTTTTTATCGTGGCATAATCTATTTCACCGATAAAATAATATCCATCCTTGTCTAAAGTATTTAGTTTTTGACAGTATTGAGTTTTTTCCCCCAAAATATGCTGTTTCCATCAAGCCTGTTGGGTAATTCATCTGCATAAAATGGTTGGATGGAAACATGGTTTATGTAACCAGCGAGAACAACCTATCACTTCTCCCCTTGTGTCATATAATAAGCCATGCAGTGCGTTCTAACGATGATCAGTGTTTTTAAATATCAAACAGGATTATCGATGACAGAACTTGTGAATGGCAGACGCCAGGGCAGCTCTGTGGTTTAAGCGAAAAAGACAGGTTGCCTGACATAACAAAAATGATGCACACACATCGATGGGGCAGATGGCTGTGTTATGATTCTGAACGGTCAGATAACTAGCAATGTCACATCTATGCTAATATGGCTACAATTCTCTAACTGGGCTGACCAACAACTAACAATATATTTGAGAGACAAGTGCTTTATGTGCAAATATATTTATGTTTTCAATAAACATTTGTAGACTAAATATAGTTCAAGTTGTCAATAATCCTTTGGCGTTGACAGTGATTTTGCCCTCAAGTTGCGCACGCATCGGTTTTGTTGCTAAACAACCCACCCGTTTATTAATTCAAGTTTTACCGCTGAGAGGTTCGCAGAGATGTATCACAACAGTGCCTGACAGTTCAGCCTAATGATTGATTTACCCTACCGCGGTATGTGTCGCTAGGTGTACGTCTCATAACGATAACCAGCTCAGTGTCAAATGTGTTACAGGCTTTGGTTTTTCCATTTTATGTTTTGAGGTTGGACTATAGCACATACAGTATAGCTCGTTAGCATGTAGGGCGCACCGATTGGTGTCACCTCGTTAGACAGTACGTGTTACACCTGTGCTGGTTGCCATCTTGTTAGTGGGAAGGTGTTTCACCGGTGCTGGCCCAGGTGCTATTTAAGAGCGGCTGGCCCTGTGCTCCAGTTGTCTTGAGAGATGTGGAGGGTCAACACCTTTTGTTGGTGCTCCCTATTTGTGTCCTGTCTGTAAATTTGATGTTTTTTTTTGTGTTTGCCTCTTCTTGGGTACATTTTGTGGGTGCTCATGGTGGGTGTCTTTTAGGTTCCAGTTGTTGTTGCTAGTCAACTTTCAGTGGACACCCCCATGAGTTTCTTTCAGAACCCCTCCTAAAGCCCCACCTGTTTTGGTTGTTGGTCAGTGACCCTGTTAGTTCCCCCTTCTGGTTGAGCAACATTTTTGGTTTTCTTGCTGGGGAACGTAACAAAAGTTAAGATTGTATAATCGTATAGTGTTTAGAAGGCCTTATTTTAGATTTACCTAGTGTTGTTTCATCCGAACAGTTTTTAAATAAGTTAGCTGGTCATTTAGGAACGTCTAGAATAATCATTTTTGGAGAATGTAGCAATGCTAGTGGAAATTGATTGTATCAGCATGCGGAAAGCAGGGTGCTTCTTTTTTTAACACAGAGCCTTCATATGCTTTTGAATTACAGTTTCCACTAGCATTGTGATATTGCATACATATTAGCATATTATAGAACATAACACCATAAGAATGGAATAGCCACTACCTTTGTGATCACCCCATTCTCTGATATGAGGGCCTGTCTAGCCAGAGTGTTGATCTGTAGAGTGTAGCGGAAGTGAGAGATCAGGAGCTATGGAGAAAGATGGAACGATCGTACATGAAATTCACACCTAAAAATGCTATGTACTGTACTACAAACAAGCTACTGCTTCATTCAATTACAAAAAAATACATACAATACATTTATTTCCAAATACTTCAGGTTTCTCTTAATCATGTTAAAATTATTGAGTTAATAGGAAAATGAGAACTCACATAATAGCAGCATTATAACAGTTGAAAACAAACTCAGTGTCTGCACGCACAGCAGCAGGTATGTACCTTGTAGATGGGATGCACCATTGGTAGGTTGCGCAGTGTCGACACAGCAAACACCTCAGCCAGCAGGTGAGTCCTCAGCAGGTGAAAGTTCAGCTCGTGTTCAGCGAAGTCGGCGTTCCTCACAAAAATCTTGGCCAGTAGCCAGTCATACTCAGAGTCAGTAGGAAGGAAGATAGGGTTGTTAGCTCCAGGCTCCTGCTTCAGCTGTGAAAGGAAATGGAACAATCATGGCTTGCTTCATTAATTGAGAATGGTTATATTGCCACAATTTAAAGACATACGGAAGTTTTAATAGTTGTTTGCTTAAAACGAGTGTTACCTGTATGGTTCTTAAGGACATAGGATATAACATTAATCATGAAACCCCAAAATCCTTTGTTTTAGGTTAACAGTATATGCTTTTGCTTTTGCTTTTGCTCATGCTTTTTGCTTTCTGGTCAATTAGGTAACTTCTGGGCAATATTTCTGTCCATTTTATGGGACCCCTTTTGGTTCAAGAGCACCTCCAGTGGCAAACATTCTGTTAAGATGATTTAATTTGGGTTTCGGATGTAAAGATGTCATTCTTATGTGAGATGTACCTGGATTGCGATGGGTATGAGCTTCTCTTCTGGGGTTATATAGAGCAAGCAGAGCGGGGCAGCCAAGAACTGCTGTTTCCCGTGGATCACATTTGCTGTCACTCCATGTAGGCGCTTGTAATCAACCAGGAAGATGTTGCCTTTCTGTTTAGGTTAGGACATTAATGAGTTAGGGATCCAACATCAACACCATGCCAAAGGAAGTGTACTGACACAATGTACTGTACTACACAACATTTCCTGAGGAAGAAACCACTAGAGCAATAACAGAACGATGAATGACATACATTACTCCATTTTGACAAACCTGAATTTCCTCCTCAAGGCTTTTTCCGAAGAGGGAAGTTTTCACCATGTCTTCTGTGACGGGGAAGTTCTCTGGAAGCTTGGAGCAGCGATGGATCATCATGGGGTTGAGGCCATTCAGAAGCTGGTACCCGAAAAACTCATCCTCCTTCCAGTTCTTTTCGACATATTCTAGAAAAATACAAAATTATCATGTGTAAAATGAAACTGTGCAAAATAATAATGAGATGCTAATGATTCCAGTGAGCTATTTTAATGCTGTCTTGTTTAAGATGGAGACCAACTGACCAGACCTTACCATAGACGTCAGTCTTGTGTCTATTGAAGACGCGACTGAGTTCATCTAGGCTCTTCCATTGTTTCTTGTTGCTGGAATGGCTTACTAGTTTCAGTGACACCAATCTGCCGGGATAGAGGAGGAACTTTACTTCAACATGAGAAAGATGGTGCAGTTGGTTAGAGAATGGTGCTAACAACGCCAGGGTGTCCCCCAGGGCTTTGTGCTGGGTCCAGTACTCTTCATCATCTACATCCTCCCCTTTGGGTGATTGATTCATGCACAGGCCACATTCAGTGGGGAAAAAAAGTATTTAGTCAGCCACCAATTGTGCAAGTTCTCCCACTTAAAAAGATGAGAGGCCTGTAATTTTCATCATAGGTACACGTCAACTATGACAGACAAAATGAGAAAAAAAATCCAGAAAATCACATTGTAGGATTTTTTATGAATTTATTTGCAAATTATGGTGGAAAATAAGTATTTGGTCAATAACAAAAGTTTCTCAATACTTTGTTATATACCCTATGTTGGCAATGACACAGGTCAAACGTTTTCTGTAAGTCTTCACAAGGTTTTCACACACTGTTGCTGGTATTTTGGCCCATTCCTCCATGCAGATCTCCTCTAGAGCAGTGATGTTTTGGGGCTGTCGCTGGGCAACACAGACTTTCAACTCCCTCCAAAGATTTTCTATGGGGTTGAGATCTGGAGACTGGCTAGGCTACTCTAGGACCTTGAAATGCTTCTTACGAAGCCACTCCTTCGTTGCCCGGGCGGTGTGTTTGGGATCATTGTCATGCTGAAAGACCCAGCCACGTTTAATCTTCAATGCCCTTGCTGATGAAAGGAGGTTTTCACTCAAAATCTCACGATACATGGCCCCATTCATTCTTTCCTTTACACGGATCAGTCGTCCTGGTCCCTTTGCAGAAAAACAGCCCCAAAGCATGATGTTTCCACCCCCATGCTTCACAGTAGATATGGTGTTCTTTGGATGCAACTCAGCATTCTTTGTCCTCCAAACACGACGAGTTGAGTTTTTACCAAAAAGTTATATTTTGGTTTCATCTGACCATATGACATTCTCCCAATCCTCTTCTGGATCATCCAAATGCACTCTAGCAAACTTCAGACGGGCCTGGACATGTACTGGCTTAAGCAGGGGGACACGTCTGGCACTGCAGGATTTGAGTCCCTGGCGGCGTAGTGTGTTACTGATGGTAGGCTTTGTTACTTTGGTCCCAGCTCTCTGCAGGTCATTCACTAGGTCCCCCCGTGTGGTTCTGGGATTTTTGCTCACCGTTCTTGTGATCATTTTGACCCCACGGGGTGAGATCTTGCGTGGAGCCCCAGATCGAGGGAGATTATCAGTGGTCTTGTATGTCTTCCATTTCCTAATAATTGCTCCCACAGTTGATTTCTTCAAACCAAGCTGCTTACCTATTGCAGATTCAGTCTTCCCAGCCTAGTGCAGGTCTACAATTTTGTTTCTGGTGTCCTTTGACAGCTCTTTGGTCTTGGCCATAGTAGAGTTTGGAGTGTGACTGTTTGAGGTTGTGGACAGGTGTCTTTTATACTGATAACAAGTTAAAACAGGTGCCATTAATACAGGTAACGAGTGGAGGACAGAGGAGCCTCTTAAAGAAGAAGTTACAGGTCTGTGAGAGCCAGAAATCTTGCTTGTTTGTAGGTGACCAAATACTTATTTTCCACCAAAATTTGCAAATAAATTCATTAAAAATCCTACAATGTGATTTTCTGGATTTTTTTTCCCTCAATTTGTCTGTCATAGTTGACGTGTACCTATGATGAAAATTACAGGCCTCTCATCTTTTTAAGTGGGAGAATTTGCACAATTGGTGGCTGACTAAATACTTTTTCCCCCCACTGTATCCTTAATCTTATGTGTCAATCGACATTTGATTTGGTGAAAAGTTCAGCTATTTGGTTATAATGTCTGCTAAATGGTTAATTGGCTTGTTATTAGTTACGATTTCAGGCATGATTTGAGTGGCTAAAAACACATTCATTTAGGAAAACCTTGCCTGAGGGTGTTACTACTGGCATAATTCCTATATTCCACCACAACCCTGACGGCCACATTCCCCACATCTCATGATATCACAATTACCTGAACAGGTGTAGGACAATCACATCACATCTCATCTCACTGTAAAGGAAGTATTTTTAAAGGTATGTTGGGGATATGCCAATAGAGATTATTAAAGATCTAATTAATTTCCTGGTACTGCCTCTTATGGTTCTCAACCTGGGGTCCATGTTCCCCTGGGGATACTTAGCCTATACAAAGGGCCAAGACTCGCAAGAGCCTACAGGTAAAATGCACACTTCAGGGGTACTCTGGGAAGAGCAAAATGTGATTGGGGTGCAGTAAGCAAATATTTTTGATAATTAGTGCTCTAACTTACGCTTCGACTGCTGTGAACGTGAACTCAAAGTCCTTGGTGAAAGAGAAGCGGACCTCAGCAGGGAGATCAGAAGCACTGTCAACTTTCATTATTTCGGGTAGACCCTCGGCATATATACTCCACCTGAAGGGGATAGACATGGTAAATTACACAACCATACAAAATGGTAGCTTAGGTTACTTCACATAAATGTATCTGGGTTTAAGAGTTATTTGTTTCTTTGGAGTTTAGAGTTTATAGTTTAGAAAAATGTATTCGTCATTCCACAATGATACACTACCGATTAAAAAAAATAAAATAATAATAATTTTAAAAAACACAAAAAAAACATTGTGGACCAATCAAATTGAGACTCTAAAAACAATCATAGTCAAATATGGTAGAGGCGTCATCTATAATACATTACATAATCTATACACAAAAATCAGTACATACAAGGACAAGTAGGCACTTATAAAGAAGTCTCCGTTGGAGGATAAGGTGGCAGGTGCTTTGGCGAGGACATTTACATAATTGTTACCTGAAAATGTCACACTATTTATTATTTTCATCTTCGATATTGATTGGCTAAAACTGAACGTACATAGGATTCAGTCCCAAACAAGGTTATTATAGTTGTTTTTATATTTATAAAAATAAGAATCTATTTAGTTTCAATTCGTTTTCAGACTTGATTTTCTCGTTTTTTTTCTGTTTTTTGTTTGATAAAACATTTATATTTCGTTTTTATATTATTTTGTTTCGGTTTAAGTTTTTGTGTTAGGGACAGAAAGTAGCCTATGGTGGAAGGCTAGGAAACATTTACAGTGCATTCGGAAAGTATTCAGACCCCTTGACTTTTTCCACATCTTGTTACGTTAGACTTATTCTAAAATTGATTAAATTGTTGTTTTTCCTCATCAATCTATTCCACAATGACAAAGCAAAAACAGGTTTTAGAATTTTTTGCTAATTTATCATAATTCTTTTTTTGAAATATGACATTTACAAAAGTATTACATACAAGCTTGGCACACCTGTATTTGTGGAGTTTCTCCCATTTTTCTCTGTAGATCCTTTCAAGCTCGGTCAGGTTGGTGGGGAGCGTCGCTGCACAGCTATTTTCATGTCTCTGCAGAGATTTTCAATCGGGTTCAAGTCCTGGCTCTGGCTGGGCCACCCAAAGACATTTAGAGACTTGTCCCGAAGCCACTCCTGCGTTGTCTTGGCTGTGTGCTTAGGGTTGTTGGCCTGTTGGAAGATGAACCTTTGGGTCAGGTTTTCATCAAGGATCTCTCTGTACTTTGCTCCATTCATCTTTCCCTCTATCTTAACTAGTCTCCCAGTCCCTGCTGCTGAAAAACATCCCCACAGCATGATGCTGCCACCACCATGCTTCACAGTAGGGATGGTACCAGGTTTCCTCCAGATGTGACGCTTGGCATTCAGGCCAAAGAGTTCAATCTTGATTTCATCAGACCAGAGAATCTTGTTTCTCATGGTCTGAGAGTCTTTAGGTGCCTTTTGGCAAACTCCAAGTGGGCTGTCATGTGCCTTTTACTGAAGAGTGGCTTCCGTCTAGCCACTTTACCATAAAGGCCTGATTTAGTGGAGTGCTGCAGAGATGGTTGTCCTTCTGGAAGGTTCTCCCATCTCCACAGAGGCACTCTGGAGCTCTTTCAGACTGACCATCGGGTTCTTGGTCACCTCCCTGACCAAGGCCCTTCTCCCCCGATTGCTCAGTTTGGCCGGGTGGCCAGGTCTAGGAAGAGTCTTGGTGGTTCCAAACTTCTTCCATTTAAGAATGATGGAGGCCACTGTGTTCTTGGGGACCTTCACTGGCTCAAATTGCCGACCAATCAGCCTGTTACCAATCGTTAGTAACATATTTTTTTTTAATGGTGTTTTACCAGATAAAATGCTATTTCACAGTAAACAAATTGACAACAGATTTCAGCACGCTTATAGGGAAGTTATTCAACAAGCACAGCGCTTACACAAATGACTGATGATTGGCTGAAATCATGATAAAAATATTGTGGGGGCTGTTTTGTTAGACTTCAGTGTGGCTTTTGACATTATCGATCATAGTCTGTTACTGGAAAAACTTATGCGTTATGGCTTTACACCCCCTGCTATATTGTAGATAAAGAGTTACCTGTCTAACAGAACACAGAGGGTGTTCTTTGATGGAAGCCTCTCCAACAAAATCCAGGTAGAATCACGAATTCCCCAGGGCAGCTGTCTAGGCCCCTTACCTTTTTTAAATCTTTACTAACGACATGCCACTGGCTTTGAGTAAAGCCAGTGAGTCTATGTATGTGGATGACTCAACACTATACACATCAGCTACCACAGCGACCGAAATGACAGCAACACTTAACAAAGAGCTGCAGTTAGTTTCAGAATGGGTGGCAAGGAATAAGTTAGTCCTAAATATTTCAAAAGCTAAAAGCATTGTTTTTGGGACAAATAATTTACTAAACCCTAAACCTCAAATACATTTTGTAATGAATAATGTGGAAATTGAGCAAGTTGAGGAGACTAAATTGCTTGGAGTAACCCTGGATTGTAAACTGTCATGGTCAAAACATATTGATACAACAGTAGCTAGGATGGGGAGAAGTCTGTCTATAATAAAGCGCTGCTCTGCATTCTTAACAGCATTATCAACAAGGCAGGTCCTAAAGGCCCTAGTTTTGTCGCACCTGGACTACTGTTTAGTCGTGTGGTCAAGTGCCACAAAGAGGGACTTAAGAAAATTGCAATTGGCTCAGAACAGGGCAGCACGGCTGGCCCTTGGATGTACACAGCGAGCTAACATTAACATGTCAATCTCTCCTGGCTCAAAATGGAGGAGAGATTGACTTCATCACTACTTGTATTTGTGAGGGGTATTGACATGTTGAATGCACCGAGCTGTCTGTTTTAACTACTGGCACACAGCTTGGACACCCTTACATACCCCACAAGACATGCCACCAAAGGTCTCTTCACAGTCCCGAAGTCAAGAACAGACTATGGGAGGCGCACAGTACTACATAGAGCCATGACTACATGGAACTCTATTCCACATCAAGTAACTCATGCCATCAGTAGCATTAGATTTAAAAAAACAGATAAAAATACACCTTATGGAACAGCGGGGATTATGAAGCAACACAAACTTAAACACATGCATAGAAACACACAATAACATACGCACTATACACATGTACACATGGATTTTGTGTTATAGATATGTGGTAGTAGAGTAGAGGCCTGAGGGCACACACCTAATATGTTGTGAAATCTGTTATGAATGTATTGTAATGTTTTTAAAATGCCTTAACATCTCAAGGATGATCAATGGAAACAGGATGCACCTGAGCTCAGTTGAGTCTCATAGCAAACGGTCTGAATACTTATGTAAATAAGGTATGTTTTTTTTTTTTTTATACATTTGCTAAAATGTCCCAAAATTTTTTTTTCGCTTTGTCATTATGGGGTGTGTGTAGACTTTTTGTTTTTACGTAACAATATTTTGAAAAGGTCAAGGGGTCTGAATACTTTTTGAATGCACTGTATGTGTTGTAGGACTATAGTTTGAGTGTTTTTTTGGGATGTCACTTCTTGCCACTGGGGGACAGTTATAAAGAAGGTGATGGGTCAGTTCATAGGATAGGTTAGATTGAAATTATAAAGTCAATCTCAATGTGACTTGCCCATGTTAACAGCAATCCAATGCTTTAAAAAAAAAACGTATTAGTACATGTAAGAAGAATAAAGTACCTTTACCTGACAGAGAGGGGGGGAAACAAATTAAGTCATTGCACATTTGTTAGCTACTAATAGCTAGTAATAGTGATGCACAAGCTAGGCCTATTTGAAACATCGCCATTTTCCTTGCAGCATTTACCCGTCAGATTCAGAACTTTTAAAACCCTATTTTTTTTGGGGCGGCAGGTAGCTTAGTGGTTAAGAGCGTTGTGCCAGTAACCGTAAGGTCGCTGGTTCTAATCCCCGAGCCGACTAGGTGAAAAATCTGTTGATGTGCCCTTGAGCAAGTCACTTAACCCTAATTGCTCCTGTAAGTCGCTCTGGATAAGAGCGTCTGCTAAATGACCAACATTTATTTAAATTTATTTCGATTTTTGCCCAAAGTTTAGTAGAAAAACAAACTACAACTGAACATGATGATTTTTGTTTTTGTTTGTTTTAGAGTCAAAGATAATAGTTTGAGTATAGTGTTTCAAACTTATTTCTTAATGATTTTATTTCAGTTTAGGAAATCGTTTTTCCATGATTTGTTTTTGTTTCAGTTTTAGTTTACTATAATAACTTTGGTCCCAAAAGTGCATTTAAAAAAACAGTAGGTGCACTTTGTTACTTTTGGGTTTGTACCACTTTAGTTCTTTGCTCTCTAAAAGTGCTGATTCAAAAGCATTTTGATGTTTTTTAAAAGTGTTTCTGCATCTTTGGAATTGAGTTTCCAGATCTCAGAACTAGCCTCTCACCGGTACACATCACGGCGACTCTGCAACTCCTTCTTTCTCTCCTCTATGGCCTCTGGCCAGGTCTCATTGAATATCAGTTTACCTTATAAACAAAATACCAGAAAGTGTGATTATTTTCACGTTTTGTGGGGATTGGTCAACATCTTAAGCCATACAAAGTATATCCACCATTATTCCATAAATATGGCCCCTTTTGAGACACATTTAAAAATAAACTACAAATGACATTCAGCTAGCTGACGTATAATAGGCACAGCAGGTATACTCAGAACTAAACCTAGACAATGATCTATACACCAACATACTGACCAGTGGCCTCTCTGAACACCAGCCGCTCGTTGCCTGAGATCCAGTGGTAACAGGGGAAGTTGGCCGTGTCTCCCTCTGGTGTGGTCACCACAACTTTAGAGCAGAACCAGTCATTGTTGAGGAAGCAGAACGGGAGGTACGGCTCTGATTCCAGCACCACAAACTCCAGCTGGCCCAGAGAGGAGGGACAGGATACATCAAGCTCAATCACCTACAGAGAGGGAGGTGAAATGTTATCCCAGCAAACACAATGTTCTCTAAACGTCGACTAAGTTGAGCCTGTTTGTTTTGTTGTTTTTCAAATCCCAGAATGTAGCTGAATGAGGTTGTCGGTAGGACGCTGTAGAGCGAGTGCTCTTGGAGTAGGGGCGAGGTTGTCGGACCACCCCTCATCACTGTCAAACGCTCCCTAAAACACTTTAGCGAGCAGGCCTTCCTAATTGACCTGGCCCAGGTATCCTGGATGGATATAGATCTCATTCCGTCAGTAGAGGATGCCTGGTTGTTCTTTAAAAGTAATTTCCTCTCAATCTTAAATAAACATGCCCCATTCAAAAAATACAGAACTAAGAACAGATATAGCCCCTGGTTCTCCTCAGACTTGACTGCCCTTGACCAGCACAAAAACATCCTGTGGCGTACTGCATTAGCATCAAATAGCCCCTGCGATATGCAACTTTTCAGGGAAGTTAGGAACCAATATACACAAGCAGTCAGGAAAGCAAAGGCTAACTTTTTCAAACAGAAATGTGCATCCTGTAGCACTAACTCCAAAACGTTTTGGGACACTGTAAAGTCCATAGAGAATAAGAGCACTTCCTCCCAGCTGCCCACTGCACTGAGGCTAGGAAACACTATCACCACCGATAAATCTACAATAATCGAGAATTTCAACAAGCATTTTGCTACGGCTGGCCATGCTTTCCACCTGGCTACCACTACCCCGGCCAACAACTCTGCACCCTCCGCTGCAACTTGCCCATGATAGAGTTCAATGTGTCAAATCGGAGGGCCTGTTGTCTGGACCTATGACAGTCTCTATGGGGGTGCCACAGGGTTCAATTCTTGGGCCGACTCTTTTCTCTGTGTATATCAATGATGTCGCTCTTGCTGCTGATGACTCTCAGATCCACCTCTACGCAGACGACACCATTTTGTATACATCTGGCCCTTCATTGGACACTGTGTTAACAAACCTCCAAACGAGCTTCAATGCCATACAACACTCCTTCAGTAGCCTCCAACTGCTCTTAAACACTAGTAAAACTAAATGCATGCTCTTCAATCGAACGCTGCTGGCACCCGCCCACTCGACTAGAATCACTACTCTCGACGGGTCTGACCTAGAGTATGTGGACAACTACAAATACCTAGGTGTCTGGTTAGACTTTAAACTCTCCTTCTAGACTCACAGTAAGAATCTCCAATCCAAAGTTAAATCTAGAATCGGCTTCCTATTTCGCAAACAAAGCATCCTTCACTCATGCTGCCAAACATGCCCTCGTAAAACTGACTATCCTACCGATCCTTGACTTCGGCGATGTCATTTACAAAATAGCCTCCAACACTCTACTCAGCAAATTGGATGTAGTCTATCACAGTGCCATCCGTTTTGTCTCCAAAGCCCCATACACTACCCACCACTGTGACCTGTACGCTCTTGTTGGCTGGTCTTCACTACATGTTCGTCGTCAAACCCACTGGCTCCAGGCCATCTATAAATCACTGCTAGGCAAATCCCCGCCTTATCTTAGCTCATTGGTCAACATAGCAGCACCCACCCGTAGTCTGCGCTCCAGCAGGTATATCTCACTGGTCATCCCCAAAGCCAACACCTCCTTTGGCCGCCATTCCTTCCAGTTCTCTGCTGCCAATGACTGGAACGAATTTCAAAAATCTCTGAAGCTGGAGACTCTCATCTCCCTCACTAACTTTAAGCATCAGTTGTCAGAGCACCTTACCGATCACTGCACCTGTACACAGCCCATCTGAAATTAGCCCACCCAACTACCTCATCCCTATATTGTTATTTATTTTGCTCTTTTGCACCCCAGTATCTCTATTTGCACATAATCTCTTGCACATCTAGCATTCCAGTGTTAATACTAATTGTAATTATTTTGCACTATAGCCTATTTATTGCCTTACCTCCATAACTTGCTACATTTGGACACACTGTATATATATTTTCTGTTGTATTTTTTTACTTTGTTTTTTTTACCCCATATGTAACTCTGTGTTGTCGTTTTTATCGCACTGCTTTGCTTTATCTTGGCCAGGTCGCAGTTGTAAATGAGAACTTGTTCTCAACTGGCTTACCTGGTTAAATAAAGGTGAAATAAAATAAAATAAAACTGTCCAGTTTGAGTGTTTTTGCAGCTCGTTCCAGTGGCTAGCTGCAGCAAACTGAAAAGAGGAGTGACCCAGGGATGTACTGTATGTGCTTTTCGGACCTTTAACAGAATGTGACTGGCAGAACGGGTGTTGTATGTGAAGGATGAGGGCTGCAGTAGGTATCTCAGATAGGGGGGAGTGAGGCTGAGAGGCTTTTATAAATAAGCATTAACCAGTGGGTATACAGAGATGGCCAGTTTACAGAGGAGTATAGAGTGCAGTGATGTGTCCTATAAGGAGCATTGGTGGCAAATCTGATGGCCGAATGGTGGTAAAGAATATCTAGCGACTTGAGAGCACCCTTACCTACCGATCTATAAATGATATCTCTAGCATGGGTAGGAAGGTCATCTGAATCAGGGTTAGTTTGGCAGCTGGGGTGAAAGAAGCGATTACAATATTGGAAACCAAGTCTAGATTTAAACCTTAGCCTGCAGCTTTGATATGTGCTGAGAGAAGGACAGTGTACTGTCTAACCATACTCCCAAGTACTTGTATGAGGTGACTACCTCAAGCTCTAAACCCTCAGAGGTAGTAATCAGTGACACATCCATAAACTGAGCGGAAACCAGATTGCATACCAGAGAAAATATTATAGACATCACGAAAGCCAGTCAGTTGAGTGTTTCCAACACGTTTAGGCAAGATAAATTGGCCTATAACTGTTAGGATCAGCTTGATCTCCCCCTTTAAATAAAGGACGCACCGTGGCTGCCTTCTAAGCACTGGGAACCTCCCCAGAGAGGAGAGACAGGCTTGGCTATGATAGGGGCTGCAACCTTAAAGAAGATAGGATCTAAACCATCTGACCCAGATGTTTTTTTATGGTCAACCTTAAGGAGCTCCTTTAGCACCTTGGACTCAGTGACGGCCTGCAAGGATAAGCTGTGTAGCAGGGCAGAGGAAAAAGTGGGAGGAGCAGTTGGACATGGCTGAGTCAAATAGTAATCCTGACTTAATGAAGGGGTGATTAAAGAGCTCAGCCATACGTTCCTTGTCAGTAACAACCACATCATCAACATTAAGGGACATGGGCAGTTGTGAGGAGGAGGGTTTAATCTCCATTTTATTTCACAATTTCCCAGAATTTCTTGGGGTTAGACCCACAGAGAGAGACCGGCTCCTTCAAGGAACTCACTTTGGCCTTCCGGATAGCCTGAGTGCACTTGTTTCTCATTTGACTGAACAGCAGCCAGTCAGCCTGAGTATTTGTGTGCCGAGCCTTTCGCCAAATGGTGTTCTTGAAGTGGAGTAACTCTGTCAGATCATGGTCGAACCAGGGGTTAAACCTTTTCTTTATGGGGTGTGCTTGTTAACAAAACCACAAAAAAAAGGGCCAAGCATCTTCGACAGAGGGGATCAAGCTGATTCTATACCAATTTACAGAGGCCAGGTCATGAAGGAAGGCTTGCTCATTCATGTTTTTCAGCAAGCGTCTATGATAAATCAGGACCGGTCATTTAACTGAGCAGCCGTAAAACAGTGATCACTAAGGTAATTACAGAAAACACCAGACTGATACCTATCAGGATTATTTGTGAGGGTATCATCAAGGAGAGGAGCCTTTTCTGGGTGTTTGGGGTTGGTAATGATCTGAGAGAGATTTAGGGAGTCCCATTGTTTTAAGACTTTAATCATGTCCCAGTTTAGGTCACCTATCAGGACAAATTCATACTTAGTGTAAGGGGCCAGGAGAGAGGTTAGGGCAGGTAGGTTACAGGCCGGCGCTGATGGTGGACAATAACACCCAGCAACAGTCAACAAATAACTATTTGAAAGCTTAACGCTGAAAACAAATTGTCAGACATGGTGGAGACAACCGAGCACTGAAGGTGTTCCTTGGTAAAGATTGCCACTCCACCACCATTGGAAGATCTGCCTTGCCGAAAAAGGTTATATCCAGAAAGGTTATCAGTGTTCAGAACAGTCTTTCTTAACCATGTCTCAGTAATGCACATTTCCAGATATCTCCGGCTGGTTGGATGGAGTTTGAACACATAGACCATATAGGCTAGATGGTTTCCTTGAAGGGTATAGGGTTTCCCTGAAGGTGACTTGATTAGTTGTTGTGCTTTGTTGAGGAGTTGAGTGGCGGAAGGTGGCATGGAGACTTTTTATCAATAACGTGGAAGTTCGGTATGTAGAACATCTAGGTTACTTGTAAAGTGGACCAAGGCATAAGGTTGATGGCTTAGAGGGATAGAGGCAGACTGGTACAGTAGACCGGTGCACACGTGGTTGAGGCAGGTAGGGACCCGGGAGGTATTGTAGATGATGTTGCTGAAGATCCCCCCCAAAAAAAATCTGGACTGCGGATGCAAGCAACGGGCACAGATGTGGGAGGGGTCGGCACAAGGCCATCACGAAGAAGGCTTTGGAGGCTGAGACAGGCTGGCTGAAGGCTGAGGGATGGTGGTGAGCCGTGTGGGGGAATAGAGGGACACGTTGTCGCTCATCAGATGTGAACCGGGTGAATGGGCTTCGGTGACGAGTGAGGAGGACGTTGGGAGGTTGAATGCTGAGGAGTGTAATCATATGAAATGGTCAGACTGCGGTGGCATCTGGTAGTGGCAGAATCATGGGGTCAGGAAGGAATAGTGACTTTCATGCAGGGAATCCCAGTAGGAATCCGGATGAAAGCCGAAGATCGGGGAACCTCTGGGATGTGGAGGTTGCTCTGCATGATCTGCCGGTAGAGTACAGACGGGAGATGGTCGGGACGTGGATCATAGGAAGTTGCAGTGTTGACTTTGCGCTGTGGCCTGCTGGAGCAGGGACCAGGTCGGAATCTTGTCCAAGGCTAGTCGTAGGCTGCGG